AAAAGCATGCTTACCGGCGTGGGCCCTATCAATAAAGGTTGCAGTCCTGCCGTGACGTGCCGTTTAACATCCCCGGCACCCTCCCCGCTTGTTTTTGGCCCCCAGGGTATGCCGGTTTTCGACCAAAAACGGCGCAAGTGTTCAGCTGCTGTCCAAACCCTGCACGACGCGCGCCCTCGCCTGGGCGGCCGCGTGGTCGCGTACCTTGACCTGCGCAGGCTTCGTGAACTGCGGTCACGTCCCTGTTACGCGGAGCCTGCCCTAGGTAGATGCGTCAGAGATACAAGATGAAGCACTCCTCAGCTTCACTCCTAGATTGCTTGTTTGAAACCCACCGCTGAAAGCTCCTCCTCCTCGAGCGCCCTTCACATGTAGTCCCGGAAGCTGGCAAACACGGCCATCAAACTCACTGCAACTCCTGCCGATTGACCAGTGCGCGGTGAAAATGGCGCCTGCAACGTTTCCAGACTGATTTCCAGTGGGGCAGATTGGAGCGCTGCGGCGCCGCACGCGGCCGGTGTCAGGCGGCGCCGGTTTGCTGAGGAGAGGTAAGACTCCCACTGGCAGTTCCTATGGGCTTAGGATCTATTCGGTCTTCATAGCTTGAAACGCGAGTAAAAATGCCTTAAATCTTTGTGCAGTCTCTTGGGCAGTTTGAGTTCTGAGCTGTATGAGCTGATCTGCCAGGGACTTGAGTCGTCAAACAGCAAATGACAAACGCATATGTGCAAGCTGGAACCCAGACTTGTTCCACCTTGCCAAGTGTATGAAGTCGAGTAGTCGAAAGGGTCGTCATCTCTTCCCTTCATTTCTCTGGGTTTGACGTAAATATATAGCAGGGCAAAACTTTACAAATACTTCAGGCCTTAGTAGCCACGGCAAGTTGCAGTCTGATCAGGCCTAGGTTTGACCCAACCGACTCTCCACGATCTGTTTCTAGAGTCACGACAGGTTCTGTGATCCGTTATATTGAATCCAAAAGATACTTCTGATTAAAGGTCCCGTTTATGGCTTTCAGTAGTATAAGTCCTGTACAAGGATTATCAGCTAGGAACGAGACAAGTCCGTACCAGTCCGACACAGATCCATCTTTGAGACTCTGACTTCGAGACGGCCCATTTCCTTTAGTGACAGGATCAGTGAGCCCCCGGGCGTGCCTATTCGTCTTTATCAGTGCTGTCCGATTGTTAGATCTACCTCATTTTAGGATCCTCCTTAAGAAGTTAACTGTTGCATACAACTTTTTCAATCTCCTTTAGTAGGACTGGCCTTACGAACACCAACTGAAACTTGCAGTTAAACTGGACATGCAGGGGAATGGTGAAATGGACGAAGCATATACGTGACAATCGTTGGCGTCCAAATCTCAATACATTCATGAACCTGCAAACATGCGCCCTTGATCAGCCCTTGGATTCGGAAACAGCCTCTCATATACTTTGGTTTTTTGAGCCTTCATCCAAAGAGACTAGTCCACCTTGTCCTCTGTATCGCTGGGACAGGAACACCCTTCTCTCGAGCAAGATCTTCGTCACGCAAAGAAACTGACTCCCCACTTTGCACACTTTAATCGCTTTCCAGATGCGGCGGGAAAGCTTCAAGCGCGGGCGGATCCGCGTCTGCTCCAGCGTCTTTTCCTTCCCACTCGGCGGCAGCCCAATCAACCCAAAACCCAAAGAGTGGTACACGCAAATCGTTTACGACAACCGCCCGCTCGCGCACCCCACGGGCGTCCGGGGATCCGGCGAGGCCGCGTACGCGCTGTGTCCGAAGCGCACGAACTTCTCGTACGAGACCGGAAAGTGCGGGCGGCCGCGCTGTGGGTGCTGCCACGAGAGCTGGCCGGTGGGCAGGTAAGTCTTTTTGATCCAGGTAAAGTAAGCTCTGGGTATAGTAAGCTCCCAGGCTGACACTACAAACTCAACCGTCAAAATCACCCGCTTCGCACCCGTCGGACCCACCCTAACCGCCAAACTAACCCGACCTTTCCCAGTCTGCTTGGCTTACTTTACCTAAAGCTTCCTTTACCTACATTGAACTTTTATTGGGCAGGTCCCGGGGGAAGGGCAAGGGCGCGCGCAAGCGCTCGCGGGGACGAGTCCTTCTTCGATCCGGACTGGGTCGTGCCCGTTCGGAATGGTGGTGGACTGAGAGGCGGTGTGGGGCCGGTGAGAGGTGACGTCAGCCAAGATTGGGGTGACGTCAGCGGCGACGGAGAGGGGGACGTCAGAGTGGCCGGGAGCCTTGGCGTCGATCAGTGCGGGAGTGAAGTCTGCAAAGAGGAGTGGTTGCCGGCACGGAGACCAGACGTGGAAGATTCAGAGGCCTGTCGCTCGGGTGCATTGTTGGTAGGCGAGATCAACGAGTCCGAGGATTATGACTGGGAGTTTGTGAACGGGGGTGATGGAAAGTCGGACGCTGGTTCGGCCGTGGAATCGGACGGTTCGTGGGGCTGGCTGTGAGAAGGAACATGATTTCTTGGACGTAGCTCGAGAGTAGCCAGACTAGCATGGTAGTGAAAAGCGGACAGTTTTCAAGGCCGTATGTGAATGAGACGAAAGAGTTGCAGGAAGTCGGTTTTGTGGAGGAATTGGAATATTCAGCCCAGATCCAGCGCATGATAAACGATAAAATGCAAACAAGAGGAAAGGATGAGATATGCAGACCGCAGAAGATCAGAACGGCGGCCTCGACCTGATGAGAGCCGCCCACATTGGTAAATCATGCGTTCACACGAACCTTGAAGTACTAAAAATGTAGAGGAAAAAACTATTCGCGTGCATGTGCTCTCGTGCGTTTGCACTTTGATCTGCTACCTTTTGGATCATGACAGATTGTGACAAATCTAAAAAGCTTGGCGATATGATTGAGGCCAGATTACTGAACCTAGCCCTTCCGGAACTGCATTCATGTGCTGGCACGGCCGAAAGTCGCATCTTTGTCACTTTGATTCTCGTCTGCTTCGGAATCCGGGTAGTTTGACCCACCGCTGACAAGCAAAGCGGAAACCGGCCTTGCATAAGGAATCGGTTCTGTTTCTGTTCCTGCTGTAATGGACTTTCAGGCAGAGATAATCTGTACATATTCGGGATGAAAAAGTCGACGGACTATGATTTCGTGTAGCTCGGACATTTAGAAGGGATAATTGCCAGATCGAAGAGCTAGAATCTGTCATACGACGGCCAGCCGCGTGGCAGAAAGTACTTTAGCCCAAACCGGCCCGGGCCGGATCTCAAATGTGATTGGAATCGCGCGAGGCCCCATAGCAAATGAGTACGAGAACATCCCTGGGGACTCCCCGGTTCTCGACTGCCGTCACTGCCGGGATTGCACTTGTTCATAAGAGTGGGACTGGTTTTGGTCTACGGCTATGCTACAGGATCGCTACTGGTGTTAATATACAGCTCCCCTTTTAGGAAGACCGCATGAGGATTCAGCACGTTTTGTTTCTCGAAGGATACGGTTTTTCTACAATACGGTTCCGCTCTATAATTGGCCGCTCTCAAAAATGGGCCATGATTCAAAGTGTCAGGTTTCATCATGCGTCGCAGTGACGTCGAAAAAGTGACCAATCTTAAAACCGGAGGGGCGGTTGAGCGAATGCAAAAACCAGCCAGGATCAGAGTACTGCGTCCTTGATGCTGCAACTCTCTAAGAAAAATCGATTTGGCAGTCAGCTAGTCCGTCTTTGTTACACGACTACGTCATCCGCTACGGGTCCGCTACCCTACATGTAGAGCCGAAGATGACTGACTCACACCAGCTGATGCTGGCAAAGACTATTCCTCACTCAATCTATCCTGGGATTCGAAACGTCGACTCAAACAAAATTTGCTCAATTCTTGTAACTAGACCTGCCTGATTTTCTCAAGCGGAAAGGGGGCCTCCATCCAGCCCCTCCTCTTTCTCTCGAGGGCCAGCGAAGCGCGCATATGAAAATGGGACCAAGCTCGGGCCCCTTAATCGCGTACCTAAGATGTTGTTTTCGACGGATGCTTCGATACTTCCCACAAAGGCCGAGAACTTGACATATCGTCGACTTCGGCAAGTTTCGCGCCTAATGAGCTGCAGACTGGCCGTGCAACATCTTGGGTGCGAGTTTAAGGTGCAGCTTGAGCGCAACTCGTTCCAAGCTACTCCACGTGGCACGCGCTGATTGCGCGCGTCCTGATCCACGCGTCGTTCTCGTCGTAGGCGAAGTGCGTGAAGCCGCCGACCGCGCGGAAGGCGTCGCGCACGCTCTTCACCGCCCCGGGGATCACCCAGTCGTGGAGCTCCGCTAGGAACAGGGTTGTCTCCGAAAGTATCCTAAGAAAACACAGGAGATCTTGGCTATTAACCAGGCTGTTTACCAGATTCGAGTCTATAGTCAAGGAGCAAATAACCGAGCTTTAACCCTATATCAAGGCTGGTTACCGCCCAAGTCCGGTAGATTTTATCGACGGTTGACCCTTTCGTAACCAGCCCATAGCCCAGACCATTGACCATCCATGGTCAAGGGCCAATACCGCCGTGGAGGAAGAGCACCCGGTTGCTGCGCCAGGTTGTACGTCACATGTCGTCACCGGCAAATCCGTCGCCACGACTAGGCTAGCGTTGGTGAAATGTTGCCCGACAATACAAGCGATTCGTCCTTCAAAGACGAGCAGGTTAGTTGCTTGGGTTTCATTTTAAATCTCCAAACCGCTGCCCCCTCTGACGAAAGAAGCGAAGCTGAAAACCGAAACGAGCTAAGTCCCTATCTGCTTCGGCCGACCTTCTCACCTTTTCATGCTCGGCTCTTTGAACGCCCGGAACTCCGCCCCCTCAATGTCCACCTTCATGAGGTCGAACCGCGGGATGTTGTACGTCTGCATGATGGACGACAAGCGCGCCACGTGGATCCCATCCACCGCCACCTTCTTGCAAGGGGGGTCCTGCGCATATATGAATGGGTCTTGGAATTTCGTGTCTGTCGGTTCGATTGTCAGTTTGCGTCACCGAAGGCCGAATTCTTACGTCACCTCCGGTGAGGTCCTGTTGTTACAAGTTGTGAGGTAACACATATTGTGGGGTAACCGTTACCTTCGGTGAGGTAATCATTCTGCCTTACCAAAGGCCGGCTTGTAACATCGGTGAGGTAATGGTTACACAGATTGATCGGGTTCCTCGTTAGCAAGACGGTGGCCATTGGTAGTGCCCAATAACAACCTACGTTGAATTGGTACTTTCAACTCGATCTGTTGGCAATCTCATATCTGATTTCATATTCATCGATCAACCGATAGCAGATTGAGACCCGTTTTAAGACCGTTTCCAGTACAGGAACGGAGCATGAAGCTCAGCGCCCGTTCTGGAAGGAAAAAGGATTTGTGCTGATCTTGACACCAGGGCCAGTTCTTAGAGCGCGAATAATCTTGGAAACCGGACTTTGTAATAAGGGCCTCTGCTCTTAAAGCCATTCTTTGGGGACTGTCGTTGAGAACGGCCGAAACGTGAGTCCTCCGGCTAATGGCCGGGGCCATTGCAAGACGGAATACTCAATCATTCGAACCGGACGAAACGAAAACTGGGCTCGAATGGAAGGCGGCTGAGAACTCAGAGTCACGATGAGTCACGAAGTGCTCCAGCAGATCCTTCATCAGCCGTAGGTAAGCCACTTGTAAGTTTGCAGCCACTTTGTCAAAGATTCGCCTCAAGACAAACTGGAGCGCCCCGAAACAAGCTGCGTGACGTACTCAAAACCCTCGAGCCTAGCTTTATCCGTAGAGCGTTTTCTCCCAAACAGCCGTATATAGCGAGGGGACGAGTTTTCAGACTGGACAAGCCATAATCTCGCGCAACGCTCAGATCCGGTCCCTCTTCAAACAGCTTTGAAGTAGCTGTAAGTTCAAGAGAGCCCAGCTTCTCTGAGGAGCAGATTATGATCCGTAAAGAATAAGCTCTTGAACGCGTTCAGGGTTTTGGAAGTCCGGCCTACTCAGAACGCAACAAGATAAATCTCGAAAGTCCGGAAAGACCACAACCACAACCAACTTTTTAACTTCGAAAGTTCTCTCGAGGCCCGATTCCGATAACAGCAAACAGAGCCCACAACAAACAGTCGCGGATCCTGAGCCCAGCAAAACGGGGGCAGGCCCCTTCTTCGACGGGCGACGACCTGCGAATCAAAGGTACCGAGAGAAAGCCCTCGTTTGGTTCCTGTCTGACGGTTGTCCGACCGTGAGACAACCTTCAGACCGGGATCAGGCTGGTTCAGACATCAATAAATCATGTCTCAGCCACAGCCGGAGCAACCTTCCAGACAGGTCCGACAACATTCAGAAAAACCTTCAGACATGCTTCAGACTTTGTTTGACAAATTCTGTGTCTGGTTCGGAACCTGCATTGAGACAAAAGCCAGATATTCTTTCTGTCCACTCACACTGGGCTCTCGGGAGAAGTACGCCTGCTGCTGCGACCCCTCGAACGGCCAGTCGGGGCCCCACTCTATGTCCACGTTGTCGCACATTTGCAGCGTGGTCTCCTTGTCCCATAACCCGAGGTTAACCTGCTTGATGTTGGGCAGCCGGAGGGAGTTAAGGAGCCCCACGTGGAAGTTGCTCGGGTGGGGGTCCAGTCGTAGAATCGTCGCCTGGGGGTACAGGAGTGCGAAGAAGACGGGGGCCATGCCCACCCCCCCGGCGTCGAGAATGTACTCGGGGTCGAAGTTCTGCGGCGGAGGGGGGGGGGCAGACTGGTTACACGATCATCATAACGGCCAGGCACTTTTAACGGCCGTCTTCAATCTCGGAATCCCATCGTCCAGAAATCAACCGATGAAGGCCATAGGATGCATCGCAGAAAGTTGCACTCTGCGCCTTGGATATTGTTAGTTTAATAATCAGCATCCCGTGTGCGCTCAAAAGCACCTGTCACTTGAACGACGACATCATAATCGAGTCACTCCTGAGTCTGCCTAAATTGAAGGCTGCGAGGGTAGGACGGGAGACTTGAACGTGCATAGAGAGAACGCATGGTGTTGTTGCTAGATTCGAAGCGGGGACACAGTGGAGCTGCGAGTCAACAAGCGAGGACGTGCACGTTACGCGCTTCGACCTGATGAGCTGGGTTAAGTACACCCTATATCCAGTCAGAACCATAATTCGACTACAGGTGCTTGAAAGTCGGATTAAGGCGAATTTCGGTCGGAATTAAGTTTAAGGTTGCAGGCAGCGACTCCGACAAGACGATGAAACAGCGGTAACGACCTCTCTTCGCTGGAAACGCTCACTGTCTCGTCCATTTGCAATCCAATGTGATGCTACCTGTAGGCACCAATAAAAGCACGGCGCCCAAGTCCCGCACCATTGGCCACTACAAAGGAACCAGATCTCTGCCCATGAGACGCAACTGAGAATCCGGCTTCTTCCTCACCTGTGCGTCCAGCAGCAGGCCGTACTCATTCTCCAGGAAGTGGTTCCAGAGAGACCGCATGTCCGTGGAATTCGGGCGGATTAGCCACGGCAGCGCGCAAAGCCCGTGCTCTGCGCACGGAAATTTACCCACCAGCACGTGCAGAAAACCGTCCGCCTCGGGGGGAGTGCTTATGGACCAGCGGGCGGCCTGTGCCGGGGTCTCTTTGGACTCCCGCACGATCTCGTGCGTCAACAGCGAGGGGTGCTTTTCCGTGACAGCGGACCAGGGGATCCCCCCCCCGACGTGTGCGGTTTGCAGCGGGAGGAGCTCGGATAGCTGGGCGCCCGCGAGGTGGTACAACTGCGTCTGCTCGGCAATCGCCCGCGGGCGGCGCGGGGATAAGCGATCCGGCCGGAAGCAGTGCTTATACGTGCTCCAGTCGCCCGAGTCGGCGGCTTCGGGGGCTGTGGAATGGGGTGGAATGGAGAACAGGTGGCCGACAGCCTTATTCGAGACGAGGCAGATGCAGCCGAGGACTAGGGCTACGAAAAAGAACACTAGGCGGCCACGGATTCGGTGGAGCAATGTCCGGGGGCCGAAAGCTGGCTTCATTTTGCCGGACACATCCGGAAGGAGGGCGCGACGACCGCCCTGTCAAGCACGAGAGAGCGAACGTTGAAAGGGCATCGATCTGTGCCAAGGTGGGGAGGGGGAGAGCCGCCAAGAGAATGTGCTTGAAACGCAAAACTGTGAGTCTCATTCAGACTCGTTCAGAAATAGGTGACGCAGAAAGAAGTTGCGCCAATCAGGTGCAAGCTTTGGAAAGATTCCTGCAGGTCATTCTCTGTAACTGGGCGCAGGCCCACGACGTCTGGTCAAACAGTGGCTGACAAAGGGACCTACGAAACATCAGATTGGAGCAAAGGCCCAGGCAAGGACCTTCATGAGCTAGAAACCAATATCATCTTGTACACTCTGCTGTTTGGGAACTAGCAGCTCGGTGCATTCCAAACTGGCATGCCTGCACAAGTTGATGGTCTGGCTAAAAGCCCAACGGGGTCCGCCTGTCCGCCCATCACAGCATAGCATAGCCTATCAGCCATAGCATAGCCTAGCCGCCAACTCAACCTACCTACCTAGATATGCGCCCTATGAATTGGCGCCTATGTGCAAAGCCCAAAAGAAAAGACTTTTGTCCTGAGCTGCTTCAGAGAAGCCAGAAAGCTGCACTGCTTATGACAAAGGAGTTGCCTTGCCTGGGGACTTGTATCACAGGGGGAGGTGCTACCTGGTTACGCTTTTGTCAGATGCCCTTTTTCCAGAGAAAGCTGGTTAAGTGCCCATGGAATGCCCCTAACCGGGTTGGGTTGGTTGCAAAATCTCCTTGTGTAGAATCCGAGCTGGCTGCACCAACATTTTAAAGATCAGGCCCCCCTCTATTTATCGACTGGTCACTAACCAAGTGCTCAAAGATTGAGTGCACAAACTGACCTTAGCAGATCCCGCCAGCGCCACCGTCGCTTGGCGCAACACAACAACTCCGCGCTGCAATCAGCGCCACTTCAGCTGGTACTCAAAACCTGCAGCTGTCAGGCAATGACGCGGATGTGCTTCCCTATAGCCCAATCACTGTGTGTCAGTCCACTGCAGACTTTTGCAGTGGCGACAATGCATGCAGGCAGTCGATTCTCGTCTGTATATAAGTAGCTGCAGAACCAGCCAGAGGCCAAAAAGCGGACCGCAATGGTTTGCAGCTGGAAGTAGCAGCTGGGAAAGCGCCAGCCAAAAGCTCCTCAACAATCAGCTTCGTGCCAGAGTTGTTCTTGTGCGCTTGAACAGCTTGGAGAAAGTAAAAATTTGCAGGTTGCTGATTGAGGGGAGGCCCGAATTGTAGCGGGATTGTAGCAAGCCAGCGGCAGCCGCTACTGTAGTAGCCTCGTATTGAAGCTGCTACCTCGCCTAGACAATCAGTGGGCAATCAGTGAATCACATTCATCCTTTCCTACTTCTAAAGTTCCATACACTTGGACCGGCATTCCTTTCTAGCTGATCAGGCTGATAATTTCTATAATTTCTGAAGGCTGCCGGAGTACCTAGTAGCGTCGTAGGTACGACGTACACTGTACAGTACAGACTCGGTAGTACTAGTAGTATTGCCGCGGGGCTGCGATGTGCACACGGAAGTTCCGGGCGGGGGACTGAAGTTTCATTAGATCGAACAGTAGATCGACAGTAGATCGAAAATTGTCGATTTCAATATATTACTTGATACCCTCAGATAATAGCGGCAGGAATTGTGAGCCATCACCCTGGGACGGGTAGGGTTTCAATTTGGGGGTTTTGGGTGCGCCCGGGTCCGGAGCAGGCACAATATTGGGTTGAGTTTTCGCCGCAGTTACTGCAATTGTTGGGAGCTTATACCACTCCTGAACTGTAGCTATCGAATTTATTGTATTAAAGTTCGAGGGTCTATACTGTTATTTTCGATTGCCTCGTTGTGCCCGGGTTCAATCATTACCTGGTCTTGGATAAGGTCGTACCTGTACGTGATGTCAGCACTGTTCCACCGTCAAAAAGTGCTCGGGGCCCAATCCTGTGACACTTTATGCACTAGAATCTCTCTCTCCCCGGTCCTGAGCGACTAGCGACTCCAGGCGCTTGTGTCACTGTGATTGGCAGAGCCTGAGGCACTCTACCGGTATCCTAGGTACTATCTATCTACTGTGCCAAGTCCGACTTCGACAGCCTGCAGTCACCAGTCACACCCGGCTCAAGCGCCGGGTTGTTCGGAGTCCTACTGAAGTTCCACGTCATCCGTGCGGCCGGCCCGGCCCGGGACTGCGGGCGGCGGCCGCACGGCCAGCCCGCCGCCAGCAAAATGAAGCTGGCGTAGTTAATATACTCACGATGTGCAGATCTCCGATGACATATATAAACCCGCATAGGTTATCTTCCCTTTGGTATCTTTAATTTGAACAGCAGCATGGACTCGGAAAGCAATTTTGGAAGTTGAAAAAGGAAAATTAAAGACGTTGCATCTGATCGTATGCAGTTCTCGCGCGGCTTGAAACCAGATATTTTTGCTTGCAAAGCAGCTTCAAGGAGCTGCAGCAGAGTGGTAGGCAGAAAGTAGACAGATGTGCAACCTTGTGTCAATGAACGAAGGATTCGGAAGGGGTTTCTCGGTCCTGCGAATTAGGGGAAGGAACTTGATCGCATGGTCCTGAGTCCCATACTTATGATAACGAACATTTTGTAAAGAGGAGCACAGATTCAGGAAACTAAGACAAGAGATCAGAAAGGGCCTTGACCTGACAAAAGCCGCTCAATATGTCCAACTCGATCGTATGTGTTCATAATCAATTCCAAGATTGGACGCGATTAATGACCGGGAATTCGAACGGAGAGACCCAGATTCCATCCAACGGAATAATGTGTGTGCTCTGCTTGGCTCTGAGTTCAATCTGGTAGATGTTGAGCCATCGAGAGCATCTGAATACCTGCAAAACGCGGCGATATGCATAATCGCGGAGGCGAGGTCAGAGCAGTGGTTTAAGACTTCCCCGTATTGCCGTATTCTAAGTACGGATTCAGGTTCTGCCGTCGCTCAAAAGAAAAAAAGACTTGATTGGATCGAAGATCAAGAATGTGACATAGGACGGCCAGCCACGTGGCAGAGACATGAATATTCTGGAGTGCGACGAAGCGGGGTGCCAAAATATAGAGGGTCTGATCTGATCTGATCTGGAAAGTTTTCCGCGAATTTCGCCTCTGCCAATCGCTTGGCAACTTGAAACTCCGATCAAGGGGCAGACTGGACGCAAGAAGTCAAGAAGCGGAAGGTCCTGGAACGGCATCAATGGCTGGGCGACGTAATTTCGTACTGCAACGAACCCGAAAACTATTCAATCTATAGAGTGCAGTTTTTCGAAATGATTGCTTTTGAGACCGGTAGTGTTGTTCGACGGACACTAATGGCTTGCGACAGAACGGGAATCGTGACCAGTCTCGCCGAGACGAGCCCCCACCTCTCTATCAGATTGCCAGCTCTTTTCGTGAAGTCCCAGCGGATTGAAGACGCCTGTTGCTATTTCGCAGCATCTCACAACGTTGTTGATCGAAATTCATCGACTTAGCCCTGTTCAATTACATTCCAATTCAAAACGACTCAGGTTCGTTTCAGCGTTCCTTTATGAATCTCAATCACTTGCCGGGTCTCCCTCGCACCCACCTTGGTTCTCAGCCTCAGTAAACCTGCAGAAGTGGTTGTAATTTTGCCACGACTCAGTCACAGCGTGACCTGGTCAGAGTTAACTTGCGACCGGCAGATTAGACTGCTGGCTTTGTGGATGCCAAGCCACTGGCACTACGGGCCAGTACGCTCCCTTCTCTAAAGATCAACTGCAAACCTTGAAGAATGGAGCATCACCGTCGAGGCCCGTAATATGGACCGGCTCATGATTAAAAAGTTCCTGGCGTCTGGCGATCGAAATTTTCAGACTTTTCAGACGTATCTATGACGTTGGACTTTGACAGCGTTCTGCAAAATCCTCAGAGTCGGCTCGTCTTGACGACACGCCTGGAAACTGAATGGAAACTTGGGATTGTTTGGTAATGAAAGCTGTGCCTGTTTGACTATAAAATCCTCTTCGTATTTTCCTTTGTGACAATTCGATGACCTTTGGCGAGCTTTAGAAGCGACAGCTACCGATCTGGTTCACCAGCTTGTTTCGTTCTTGCTCGACAGCTTGAGAAGTTACTGTTGTATGCTCTTCTTAAAAAGTTATTAGTGTTATTTTCTCAAGAGCCGCAGTTGAAGCGTCGTAGAGAGGAGCTGCGCATCCTCCGCGCTGGACATAGAAGGCGAGAGAGTTGCCTTTCAGAATAGGAGCTGATGCGTGTGAGATGTCACTATCAGGAAGTTGAATGATCAACCCTCGTTCAAAGAGCTAGATGGACCGAGTCGGGAAGGATGGTTCTTATGATACATGGCACACCACTCGTAACCCGCATGGGCAGTAAGCTACCATAAAAAGACGTTTAAGTTGCAGTGGGTAACGTGATCATCAGTCTTCGAGCTCTCTCACCTCAGGTTGCGTGATCGACACGTATGCGCCGTGCCCGCAATTGTTCCGTACAGTTACAGTCAACGAGCCTGGATATGCGCCATCGAAGGGATCCCCTCCTCCGGGCTCCGTTAGAGGGATCCCCCAAAGACTTTACTGCTAAATTGAAGTCGTCAGCGCGAAATCGATTGGAATAAATCGGTCACGTCACTGTCACTTCCCCCGAAGCTCTTGACGTCTGCGGTCCGCGACGTCTGCTTCACTCTCGAGCAAGGGTACGCTCCAATCTGCTCAAGAAACAGTCTCGAAAGATTAGACACCAAACAGCTTATCCGGATTGATCAAACGGATTGCTTTTCGGATTGCGCAAGCCTTTTTCTACCCTCTATTCGGGGCGAATCGTGCCTCACGGACGCCGCATATGTAGAAAAGCAAAGGGGAGGATCTGTTAACCAAAGCTAGTGTATAGAGCAGACTTTCACCAGACCTATTCCCTGAGCCGGGCAAGGGCCAACCTCAAGAATATTGCTACAAGGTGAGATGTGGACCGCTAGCAATTCGCAAACTGGAGAGCAGAACAAGCTTCCGGCATTTGTGTAGAGACGGGTAAGCTTGAGCTGATCACCATAACACTGATCAGCTGTCCTGAAAAAAAATTGAGTATCATAACACTGAGCGATTGGCCCTGGTCATGACGTCAAAACTTGCATGCACCCAGGAACTTTTCGAACCAGCAAATCACTTAGGGGATTACAAAGGTCGCCATATATGGTCCCATCAACAACTTGAATTCAAAGGAAAAAGCCTAGTCGCTTGTTCACATTGTTCAGCGCAGATCTGAAGAGATTGACCCAATGAGGCGATGTTGCAGATTTTGTGTATGACCAGTTATTAGCTTCGTAAGGAGGGGAAAACGATCGGTGCTGCATTACTATTTGATCTGGTGCGGCAAAGGGTTTGGCTACGAAGACCGTTGGTCGTTGAAGGCCCTTCTACCGAAACCTCATCCACCATGACTCCCCCGCACCTGTGCTTGACGACAATCTCCCAGGGCTGCCTAAAATTGTTACGAGATGCAAAAGCTGATTCAACATTTCTTTGCTCAACAAAGCAGTAACTAAATTCGAAGTTATTAGTTCCTTGAATTGGTGCTCCCCAGTGTCCAGGATGCGGAGGCAGGGCGTCAAGCACGGCAGGGTCCGCGCTTTTTCTTCCTACAGTCCATTTCCTCCCCGGGGGAGTTCCACGAGCCCCGCGCTGCAGCCCAAAGAATGGCACACCGACCTCCTCATCGACAATTTCCGCCCGGTGAAACGCCCCAGTGGCGTCCGGGGGATCCCCCAGGTTCCGCGCCGCACCTGGGGCGCGTTTGTGCTCCGTCCGAAGCCCACGAACGCGTCGTTCGATAAGGGGAAGTGCGGCTTTGCGCGCGCACACAGCAAGTGCTGCCACGTGTCGCTCGTGAGCGGCAAGGCCCGAGGGAAGTGCAAAGGCCGAAAGAACCGAGAGCGAGGGGACGGGGCGTTCTTTGACGCGGATTGGGTGGTGCCTGTTCGGGCGGGGAGGCGGCCGGGTCCGGAGGATGACGTCGGCGAGGACGAGGACGAGGTCAGCGGGGACGTTGGTGACGTCAGCGAAGGAGAGGGGAGCGCGCGCCCCGAGAGGAACCGCTGCGAAGCATTGGGGAAGACGTGCCGGGATGTGTGGTCGGAGGTGGGAAGGAAGCTCCGAATTAGAAGGCGGTTGGGAGTTCGTGACCAGGAGGAGAGCATATTCGGGCACTGCTTTGGTTGAGGGTTCCGACAGCGCATGGGAGGTGTTGCAACTGGAAGCGTAGATTTTGATTGATCCATTGCTTATTCTGAAGTGATCTCCTGCTCATGTGCAGCAGATCGGAGTGCGGTACTGAACAGCCTGCCAAAATAGGCCGTAAACATTGGCACTATGCCGCTAATATAGATCTAGGAACAGGACCACAGAACATTTTGTTGGAGGACAGTTCCATGCTTCGATCAGGTTGATCTAAGCAGGGATCTTTGCATGGAATCTTAACAGTGACAGCTAGCTGTTGCACGCCACACTGACATGCTGGGTGCTTTTAAGTACAGAAACCAACTCGGCGATCAGCCCCATCTTGGACCTTCACCGAGGTGCCAGCGCTGCAGTGCGCGTGCATTGCACGGACTTCAACCACGTACAACGAAGTTATTTTCGAAATGCATGAAGCTAGTGAACGTTAACAAGATCGAAATATTGGGAATCGTATAGAGGACATACTAATGCTTAGATTGTGCGTGCGCATGTAAGCCCATAGGCCGCGCGCGGCGTGACAAGTATTGCAAACGTGGATCGAGATGAAGCATCCGCGCTTATATGATATGTCCGGATCAGCAACCATTTGGCTGCACTGCATGCACCGGACGGCCCATGTTAGCATTCATGCGGCGCTGCCATATGGATATATACGCTGCGCCTGCGGTGCACGAGAATCAACTCATATTAATTGACATAGGAGTGACAGTTTCTCCCAGATGCCTCACCTTCTGACACATGCTGAACCAAAAGATGAAATCTCAAATGATGGCCTACTGAAGAAGAATAGCCCAAATACACAGCGCATCTCGTCCTTACATTCTACGCAACTGCGAAACCGAGGCCCGTGCGCCCAGCTTCAATGCAAAACAAGGTCTAACAGCAACCAGGCATCAAGTTCCATACAGCTGTGATCTGCTCTTCCATCCAAAGTTACCGTGTCATGTTTTGAGACCACCCTAGCTCTGAAGCAAGCCTGCGATCCGACTCGCCTTTCACTACTGGACATCTCAAGATGGTTGTTGACAAACTTCCGTATATGTACAGTCCACTTGTTTCTGAACTTAGTTGTCGGCCGTTATCTTACTTGAGTCAGACGTACTTCAAAACCAGACTTCTCTAACGAAACCTAATATGCTCAATGCCCGTGAGGGTGGAGAACTGCCATGTACTCGAAGGTGTTGGCGGTTATCTTACTTCATTTAGACGTACTTCTCACACCAAACCCCATCTTTTAACGAGGCCTATGCTCAAAGCCTGCGAGGTCGAGAACTGCCATCTGCTCGAAAATGTTGCTCTCCGCGTTTCCTCCCATCACATATACCGAGAACCCAAACTGCGCAACCGAGTGGCCCACCCTGACGACTGGGGATCTGCCGTAGAAGACTTTCTTATCCGAGTTGAAGCTCTTTACCAAGCAATGATTCCGGATCTTCACTTTACCCCAGGTCGAGTCCCGCATGTTGAACATCCAGATCTTGTGGCCCCCCTCAATCATGACGACGTTATCACCAAAAGCGACGAGGCTTCCGAAGTAAGAGCGAAGTTCGGGCGGGCTGCTTGGCTGGGGGTGGGACCATTCCAAAGACTTCAGGTCGAGAATCCAGACCTGAAAGAAAAGGGTGGCAGCATGTCAATATGTTGTTTGCATCAGCTTCCTTTCCTTATTTGGCCAATCAGTCATAAGTAATTTGACAAACATAGGAGACCACGGTTATAACACCCGAGGTCAATCGAAGGTTCGGGAAGAAGTACGTTGCTGAACGATCACGGAACAAACCTCGAAACGAAGGCTGTCAAGAATCATCACGATAGAGTCGCTTTCCTCGGTTCACTTTTGCAAGACAAATGCGGTCGGTAAAATAGAAGGTCGGTTTCACAGCCAGCTAGCACGGGTTCCAGTGACCATTTTGATGCAACTTTGGGCCCAAGTTGTACGTCTTACGGGGCAACCTAGACAAGGAAATGACGAGGCAGCAACCGCTGCACCAAAGCACGAACTTGACAGCAGCAATGCAGCATCATGTCGAGCTATGATTGGAATGGGTTTAGATTCGGGGGATCCGTTCAATCGTTTGAAAAGGTCAATTGGTTGGCGCTCACCTTCATGCCCGGGTGATCCCGCCAGTCCCCCCACGTCTCGTTTGCTATATAACCGCCCAGAATCACCAAGCGGTCGCCCACCACGCACGCGCCGTGCCCGTGCTGCGAGTGGGGCGCTCCCCCGGTTGTGTTAACCTCCTTCCAAACCCAAACCCTCTCTCCGTCTCGCGTCTCCTGGTCCAGCACGTGCAGGTCCGCCGTGCTGACGCACTCCCTTTCCGTACTCTCCTCAAACCGCCCCTTGTCTGACGTCAGGCCGCCAAAGACGATCACGGACTTTCCGTCCGGGTGCAGGCACGCGGTGTGCCCCTTCCGCAGGACCGGCGAAACGCCACGCCCTCCGCCTCTAGTTCCGCGTACGTCCACGTGTCGACGTCCAAGAGGAGCGCTTTCGGACAGTACCCGCCGTGCGGCTGCCTCGCGTAGATCGCGTCCAGTTCTTCGTCCTGCCCGGCGGAGATCGCGTCGAGAAGGTTCGAAACATCGATTCGCGGGTCGTTGACGGGAACGTACTGTTGCTCGCGCGCTTCCCCTGCGCTCTCCACGCGCGCCTTCTCCGCCGCGGAGAGTCCGCGCTTGCCGAAGAGGACGACGATCTCGTGGCCGTTGATGGCGGTCATCGTGTGGCCCTGGCGGCTCGAGAAGTCCCAATCGACGCTCTCGAAAGGGTCGTCGCCGGGTTGCGCAACGGCGCAGCGCTGCCGCAGTTTGGTGCGCACTTTGGTCCACTCTTTGGAGTCGAAGTCGAAGACGAACGTGCCTTCTATGCCGACGGAGTGTTTGATTCCTCCAGTCAGCACGAGCTGCAAAACAGCGTGTCTGATTAGATGGACGACGAGTGGGTGTTCAGGAAAGCGGAGTGTTTGGCCTGCTTATGCGGAGATTGCTTGGCCTTATGGTGAACGTTTTGGAAAGCCCGGTTTCAAGACTTCTCTGAGCCCAGCCTCAGACGGGTGTCCAGAAAGTGAAGTGTTTGACACCAACAGACGTTTTGGAAAAGGACGGGCGCGGGAAAAGGACAACGGGTGCGCTCATATCGGAGTCTTCGAAAGGTGAAGTAGGCATTGGATTGCAGGGCCTTTTCGAAGGGAAACCGACAAAATGGACCCTTTGAGCTGAATAGATAATGGAACCGGGAAACAGCAAGACGACGAGCTTCCGGAAGGCGTTAATCGGCATCATTCCTATCAGCGACACCCAAGATTTGCACGTCAGCGCCAGATCCAGTACAGGCACCACCTGCTCCGGCCTCGAAAAGACTAAATAAAGCACCCTGATCCTCAAATCTCCTCACCTTGTTTCTACAGACAGCGGTGGCATGCCAGACGCGCGGGAACGGCGCGTTTCTCGCAAAGAGGGCCATGTTGCCACGGCATCTCTCCGCTTGCGCGCGCAACGGGCTGACGTCCCACTCACGCCAGCCCAGGTTCTTCAATGACGTCAGATCCCGGTAAGCTAGGCTCCAAGCTTGGGGGGGCAAGTCGAATCCAGGACGGTCGGACGAATAGGACACCGGTTGGGGGCTGAAGTCACGAAAGCACAGGTGCTTCCAGACCCCCCCGAGAACGACGGCGCGCTCGAGGGTCTTGCAGGTGATAGCGAGAGCGGCTAGGGACTTTGCTGCATTCGGGAAGTGGACGAAAGCAGTGAGCGAGGGTTGCCAAAGCGACTCAAACGGCCTGGCCTTCGGACCACGTGCCAGGAAAGATGTTGACGACACACAGAGCTCAGCGTCCTGCCATGACAGGATCTTCGATCGGAGCCAAACAATTGTTAAGTCGGAGCAGACAGAAGACAGGGCTTTTGGTCGCTGACAATTCCCACAGTGATATCATCCAGGCGGTCGGTTCTTTCGTTTCTGACAAATCTTCAGAGCTGGACTTCTTTGCATTCATCACCGGGGTGATCCAGCTGAAACAAAGAAGAACCTCAACGAAGACTCTCTTCAAGAAAAGTGTGTGAGCAGAAGCGAGAAACAATCCAAAAGTTTGTTTGTTTGTCCGCCAAGTCCCAGAGTATTCGCGCAGGTCGTCTCAGGTTCTGGAAACCAGGCAGAGAACAACAGAAGCAAAGAGGCAAACCGATATGAGGTATCACCAGAAAATGATACAGTGGTCAGCTCACCAGTACAGTGGTTCAGAACCTCGACCAGGACGATGTTTGGTAGTTCGAGGAGGGTTCTAGTCTCAGAAGTTTTCTGCTTCTTGATTACTTCCTTCTGTAGAGACGGTGCCTGTGCTTGACGATCTTGTGACGATGATTTAGGCGCGGTCAGGGATAGAAGAGCGACGGCATCCTCCAGGCTGTTTTCTGTGATACCTGTGGGATCAAAAAGGATTCGGTCGAATTCTAGACTGGTAGGATGAGAGTCGCTAAAAGCATGTGTGTGTGTCCGACAAATAAATCTCGGCGTCCTTTGTCTACGGTGCAAATCATACTCGTAAGCTATTACGCCCAGATGTCTGTTAGAACACAAAATACGAGTATCCGTCTAGCAGCGCAGGGACTCGCAATCTTCGGGGGATTTGTCGACTTTCGACAGGACCCCTCGTCTTCCTCGACCATACAACGACTGGAACACACTGTAGCTGGGAGTACTTCAAAGAACATCGACTGCTGCAGTGTTGTCTATTTGCTTTATGCCAGAATCATCACAAGGACATCAAAAGAGGCTGAGTCCGGCCCCAGAAATGCCCTTGAGTGACTGACTTCTTAGCAAGCAATTGCCTGATCCACGCGCCCACCTCTTTCCCAATCTGCACGGCTGGGGTTGACAGGAGGACGATTGCTGTAAAAGTCGAAGTCGAGGCGATCTGTGTCTCCTCGCCCCAAGTAGCGCAACAGGTCCTTGAGGAACAGGTTCGGGTAGTGGTCTTTCCAGAACTTCAAGAGAGGCGGCGGATGAAAGACGACGGGACGCGAATCGTTGGAGGCCGAATTCCCGTGCTGCTCCTCAAAGCCTTCCTCAGGATTGGTCACTGCATGCAGCAAAAGGCAGTTTCAGTACTCGACTTGAGAACACTCTCCTGGCTCGTTGGATTGGCTCTTTGGACGTCGGACATTTTCAACCCTTTAAATGGACTTCATACGCAACATTGGAACAAGCAAAGAATCTGAAATCCGGTCAGGTACATGCAATAACTTCCAGAATTGAGGACCAGACAACTGCATGACGAATCGTGGTACGTCGAGAATCTAGTGAGAACGAACCCGGATTGTAAGCTTTTGCACGCCCCAGAAATACCAAATCTCATCTCTACCTAGCCAACGTCAAATGTTTTGCAGAGCGTCTGACACCCTAACAGTCCCCGGCGTTGGCTCACCGTCAAAGGAAGCTGTCTCCACGAGTGCGCTGGCCCAGACGATGCCCCTCTTCTCAGCCAGATCCGCCAGAAGTAACTTCAGCAGCCCCTTGCTGGCACGGATGCACCGCACCAGATCCTCTAGTCCCAGTCTTTCAATGCTTTCCTGCTGTCGTCCAAAGTACCTTTCTAGCAGCGCAAGCGGCTTTTCGCTCATCTCAGGATCTTGAACGGCAAAACCACGCCTGGAGTACTTCATCAGCCTGTCTTCGTAGTACACGTGTCGGAAGCTCAGGCCAACAAGATTAATGCCAGTTTGGAGCGCTCTGAGTGCCCTGGGGCTGGCCCAGACTCTAGTCCCATCGTAAGCAACGCAGCAGCAGTCAAGGTCGAACGGCGCGAGAACGTCTGCCGCGCTGAGGAAGTTGCGCATCACTATTTGGATCTTCGGCAAACTCAGAAATCCTCCTTCGACGGGGACGTCGTACCTCGGAATGAGGGTCAGCGTGTGCTCTGTTCTGAAGACTTCGATGAAGACATCGGGGCGAGTTACAGGGTTGCAGCGATTGGCAATCTCATAGCCCTGATAGATCTGGAATAGTAAAGTATGAACCTTCCACAAGATTTGCCCAGGCCCCTCAAGTGCAAAAAGGAAGATGTCGATGTCTGACGGTTTCTCGATGTCTTTTGCCAAGCCCCGGAGGCACCCAAGGACCTGGCCTCCTGCCACCATACAGTTGCGCCAGTCCACCTGCCAACACAAGGGGAGACTATTGTTTGCCAGAATGGATGGTGTCAGCATTGGGCCATACTACCCGGTTGGCAAAAATGACACATGATGCACTTGTAAGCCCACTTTGGATATGCAATGGTCTTCAGCTTGCCGAGACTACGCGTACCTGCCCCTTTGAGCTGCCACAATTGAGAAACTTTTTTACTGAATCAGCCCCTGAGTATTAAACTAATGCTCAATTGAGCTTCATAGCTCAAATTTCCTCCCTGAAAAGTATGCACAACTAACTCCGGTGATGTGAGCTGATATAATGCGTTTTATCGGATGAAAGTGTTCCATACCGTTTACAGGATACTTTATATTGATTTTGAATCAGCATGCACTCCACCTGAACTCTGGCAAATTGCTTAACAATCTTCATAGTTTTAATTTGGGTGTGCAACAAGCTGCATGTTTACAGTAACCTGCTCTAGATTGTGTCCTGGTTTGCAGCTGACCAACATTGCATCATTCTACGACAGAATCACTCTCACCTGTTGAAGCACTCCAGCTGCTGCTGCATTAAACAGAGACTTGAAAGTTGCAAAGTCCACAATTGCTGGTTCGCCCAATCTTCTGCCAGGGCTGCCATTGAAGCGGGCACTCTCAAACAAGATGGGTGTACCCTCTCTCACGCTCCCCCATGAAGCGTTTGGCCGAGTGTCCACTCGAAACAGGTCTGCATGGCTGAAGACGTCAATCAGGCCTTCCATTCTGCGTGTGCTGGTCCCAGAAGATACTTTTACAGTGGGCAGAAGACTTCTATGAGCTTTGAAAACATCCTCTAGCTCTCGCTCCTCGCATCTTGCTTCTCTTCATCCTCTCTTTCATGCTGTGATTCACCTCTTTCATCCTCTCTTAAGCAAACGTCCTCTCTCAGGAGCCATGGCGATGGGCGACATCTCTGCTGAGAACGAGAAATGCAGCATTGCAAATTTGCTATTATGCCCTATTCACATGCGTAGCTGCTACGGGTGCTACGCAGCGTACGCGGAGGGGGTGTAGCGCCAGATTGCTACGGGGGGTGAGAATGCCGCAAAAATTGCTACGAGGGCAATCCTGGTTGCTGGAGTTCACATTTACATGGTAGGTGGGCGTGAGTGAATGCACACTCGAAACTGAATAATATTCGATTTCGAGCTTTCGAAGGCTGAACTGAACTTGAGGTGTCGAAAATCGGGGATCATTCCGTGCCGCAGCCGCAAGCCGGTACGGAAGCTACTGGGGTCTGAATCTGCGGCAAAATTTGGTTCCGTAGCGGGTTCCGTAGCGTCCGTTGCTTCCGTTGCGCCAAAAAACCAAAATCGACGTTCACATTTCGTAGTACTCCCACGTCGGATGCGTAGCATCCGTAGCGCTCCGTAGCATCAAAAAACGTACGCATGTGAACAGGGCATTAAATTCGAGCCTGCATGTGTCTTGTGCTGGCACGTACGTGCTGGTGACCTGCAAGCCAACGTACGCGGCCGCGCGCGCATTCTGAATGGGGCCCGCCGCGGCCGCGCCGGGCGGCCCGCATGGCACAAGCAGTCCAACTTCATATTGAAGGCGAACCTCTGCCGGTAGAATCAGCGGAACGGAATGACTTGTACATGCACGGAGCGGCCGCGTTGCCGGGCTCGAGCTCATCGCGGCTCGCGGGGGCAGTGACATTGGTACCAACTTCCAAAGAGTTAGGTGAAACGCTTTCCTTCCCATTCCACCCGTTCTGATTGACCGAGGATTGACCACGTCATGACCACATGAGATTCCGAAACTCATTCTCAAGTTTCTCAAGTTTAGCAACAACAACATGGTCGCAGATTCGCTGAGATGAAATTGGTGCGGGATTGGTGCACTTGCTTCAAATCAAATGCCTTTTTTTTCATCCTTTTGAACATCCGAGGTCGCTGGAGAAACCGGCGTCGTTGCAAACGGGCTGCTCGATCGCTTCCGTCAGGGGCCCATAAACTTGAAGGCAGGGTCAACGGGTCAAGCGGACGGTCTCGATTTGTTCTCCGAGTGGGACTCATTGACTCAATTAGGAATGACATGTTCGAATGTTCGTATCCGGCGCAAGTCCTCTATTACAAGGAACCGAGTCACCCAGCAATATGACCCACTGAAAGATCCAGCGCATCCACAGGCTCACCAAGGCGAAGCAACGCAGAAACCGCTTTTCGTCCCCTCTTCGTACATACATGATCAGCTACTAGGCGTCTGGTAAGATAAGTCGACTTATGTCCGGAAGCAAGAAACCGGGTCAAGAGAAAGGTTATCGTGGCATTGTGAAGAGTCTCTAACTCTACGTAGGTCATTCAAGATCCATATGCGCACTCAAGGGTGCTGTATGTTAGGACGCCGTCACGCATTCAATCCTGACTGCGGCTGCGTCGTCTTGTAAACACAAAGCTTAACTGTGGTCCGGATATAGTCACTAAGTCAGGGCTTTTATGAATCACATCAAAGTACCGTCCCGTGGGCATGACATACCGTCAGAACTTTCCTGCGAAATCCGAGCAAGCAGTACGTAGGACTGTACGTTCCTGAGAACGCCACCTTTGAGCGGCCGTAGGTTCGGTTGATCAGGTGATTTGTCTAGTTGACTTGTTTAGTTTCAAGGTCGGTCACATCAACAAAGGACCTACAGGTTGAAACGACTGCTGACGATGACATAAGTTTTGCTCGAGTAGAAAAGATCTTTGGCGGTCAGACGTGAAAATCAAGGCGTACGTTCAGCTTTCTCCCAAATAATTTTGTTGCATATCTGCATAATCACAATCAATCAGAGTTCATTGATGTCCGGCTCGAACTGCATAAGCCGCTTTGCAGCTTCGGTATTCGACCGGCGGGCTTGCCGGTAAAAGGCCTTGAGTATCTATCAACCCAAATATACGCCTCATGAGCTGTTCCAACTTCACGGATTTCAAGTCAGGTGCTGGGGGATCGAGCGGCAGTCTGCTGTGGGCGAGGAAACAATATGCCCGGATTAAGCTTCGTACTGACAGACCACGACATGGCTCAGAAATTCCCCAGGATGAACGCTTGCTTGTGACTCAGACTTACTCAAGTCAAACACTGCATCATCTGCATAACAGCAGATCGGTCGGACACGTTTGACGTTCTGCCCAGTAGAAAACGTCGAAACCAAGTCGTTCGTACAGTCTCGTGAACAGAATGATTGTTATGCGACGGATTCCTGAAGCCATGATCTGCATATATGCATATTCGTTCTGGCTATCCACTGGAAGACGGAGTTCCTTGACGGACGCCCATACAACATGTTGCTTAAACATCCAGGTTGCTTAGATTCAAGGAGGACTGACGACACTTTCGAGCGCTATGTATTTCCGTCAAAAAGACACGAGCAGAAACAAGCGGACGCAAAGATTATGCATAAGCACAGCTTAATGACTGCGGCCGCCCGCGGTGATTACACGTGTTACAAGCCCGCATCAGCAACGTTGATGTTATCCTTCTTTGGGTTTTCCAGCTTCCAAAATGCTTTTCTGACTTTAAAGAATTTTGGGCATACTCGTATACCAGGTCGACTAGTAATTGACTGATTCTACTCAGATTCTCTAAACGCTCAAGGTCCCAGAGTTATGCATATTACTACAATTAACATACGCCTTACAGGATTGCTACAAGGACAGAAAAGGCCTGGAAAATTTCGCCTGCTTCATCACACGGCCTGAGAACACGTCAATATGTATCTACACGAGCGGTTCTAAGCTTCGCCTGAGAACACGTCAATATGTATCTACACGAGCGGTTCTAAGCTTTGCCTGAGAACACGTCAATATGTATCTTCACGCGCGGTTCTAAGCTTGCTCCGACCCGCAAACAAGCAGCAGGCCGCCATTTGCGTTCAAGTTTCTTTTAGCTGCACGCATTCAGCGGCGGCCAGTCCTCATCAAAGAAGTTCCACATGCGCTCCTCTGAACACGCCTCCCAGCCGTCCGATTCTGCGCAACCATTTCCCGCCTCTTCCCACTCATCTTCAGCTTCGCTCCACTCTGTGACCCGCACAAAGTTCCAATCTTCGCTGTCACTGAAAGAGTCTCCCTCGCTCCCGAGATTCTCCTCTGGTTCCGTGTCATCCTCCACATCTTCCTCTTCGCAGATTTCGCACTCAAGATGATCAAGCTTCTCTCTGCAACTGTTTCTGAACTCCCTTCCCCTGCCCTTTCCGGAGCGGAAGAACCCAGTCCGTCCAGTAGAACGTCCGGAACGCTGCCCGCCATTCCGGCCGACAAAAGTGGAACCCGTACCGCTCGCTGCTCTTGGAGCGGAAGGACGCGTTGGTGGGCTTCGGACACAGAACGAAGGCCCCATGTGGACCCACTTGGACGCCCTTTGGACGCCTCAGCTGCTTAGATTTGTGGTTCAGACTCTGGGGATACAACTGGGTGTGCATCTCCTTAGACTCAAGATCTGGTATTTCGCGATTGTACATCCACGGAATAGAGTACGCGTGGCAAGCCTGCAGGATTCGCCCATGCTTGTAGCCTTCGCGCCGCATGCTGAATTTTGCTTTCTGGGCGCTCGAAACTGTTGGCTGGACGGCTGGACAGCCGCGCCTACTGTATGCACCTCAAAAGAACATCAGAGCATCCTTTCTCTTATGAGTGCCTCCAGCTCTTCACTCTTTTCTGTTACTTTCCAAACCTGGCACGGTCTCCGCAGCTCAGGAGTCTGAAAGCATGAATAGTTTAATAGTTGAATAGTGCTCAATCCATTCTCTCACCTTGTTCGATCTGCTTTCTCCCATGTCATCTTCTTGCGATCTGATAGATGACAAGCGTGGCCAACATGAATCTTGTTTCCCCCCGCGCAACCCTGATTCTAGCAATTTGAGTGCACACTGTTGGCCGCCTTTGATTCAGCTCTTTACTACATGTAACATACACGCCTCTGTGGCAAATGAGCTTCAGCTTGCATCGCAGTTTTAAGAAAGCCCAGCGCGAGGGACAGACTGCGCGCCTTGTACATCGTTTACGGCATTATGATTAAATGCGATGACTGGTACGAAACCCTCATGCCACTTATATCAGGTCCCACTTCTTGCACCGGGTTAAGAGAACGCTAACCAAGAGATGCATGGATGGTGTTTCTTTGCAAAGGCTTTTCAGGGCGTCCTTTTTCCTTCTTCCTTGCCCCCCTGATGTGCATGAGCATGTTGGAAGAGCACATCAAGGGGTTTCAGCAAGAGTTTTCGTGGAGAAATAAGGAAGAGATAGAAATCCAGCTTTCGCGGAACCATGGCGGCAGCCATAGCGAAATCCTAAAAGCACCCGCTTTGAACCGTCAGATGAAAAGGCAGCCTTGATATCGACGGCGGAAAACCGCTGGTTGAAAAGTTCTTTTGCAAGATGTGGGACCGGCATGAGACCGTCACGATGACCATCCTCACGAGCCGCTTCGCTCTCGCGCCGCGCGCACTTCAAGCAGGGGCCGGATCGCGCCTCGCGAAGGCCCGGGTTTAATCGGGTTTAACCGGGTTTAACAAAAGCCAATCTGAGTCCGGACCGGCCTGTGCCGCCCCGGCCGCGTGCCATTTCTAGCGCCAGGCGGCCGCGCTGCGCTCCACGACTCAGCGGCGGCGCCATAGCCACGCGAGATTTTCGGGAAATGGTCTTTCGGGCGACCTCAGGCCCCGCATGGGCAGTAAGTAAATTTGCGTAAGAAAAGAGACCATCTGCTAGGCGCCCATCGCGAACCCAGCGGCGAGCACATACGATAACTTCATTGTGCCAGGCCTAGGCTCAGTGAGGGGTCGGCTAGCATGCCTTTTCGCCTCTTTTCATTGGTTCTTGAAAATGCATAAGACCAATACCGCCGTTGACAATGACAAAAGATTAACCACATGTCCTAAACACCAATGAGTCCTTGGCATCGACGTGGATGCACTGGGAATTTGGAGCATGCGCCGGCCGCGGATGTCCATGCAAGCGACACCACGTCTCCGCGTATGTTCGTTTGTAAGGTCTATGACTGACGGGCGTGCGTGTGCGCCTGCGCCGCTTAAACTTCACGGGACAGTTATGGTGCTTTTTTGCCCGGGGGAAAGTTGCGGCAGATTCCGCGCGAAGACCGTAGAGAAATCGCACGAATATTTAATCGCCCCTGCGCCGTGCTCCCGCCGGGGCTGCGCCCCAACTTTTCATGCGGCGCGCAGTACTGCCGGAAAATTGGGGCAAAATTCTGGCGGATTCGCCCCGGGCTCCGGCATTTGCACTTGGGGGGAAATGTTATCGAATTGAAGATTAGCTGCTTCTGGCCTTGTAATCGGTAGGCGAGAATGACCTTCGCGTTACCGAGACAACAAATATTTACGATTTCGATACATGTTCGTGCCAAATGTGCAGAATGACACTGCCCGGCCGGAGCTACGCGGTACGTACGCCGATCAGGGGTACGGTACCTGTATTACCTAGTAAGTTGCGGTACCGACATCATTGGAGTACCGGTATATGAATACATACCCGGTAGTCGAGAACCTACCGTAGGTAGGCCTGGCACCTGCTAGCTAGGTGCGATGGCTATGCTCAAGGTAGCCGGTAGGTCGCAACGGTATGTACCAGGTAGGCTTTCGTGTACAACCTACCTAGTACCTAGGTACCTGCTGTACTGCCTACCTACCTAGGTGCTTAGGTACTGTGCACAGGGTAGGTACTACGGTAGGTGTGCACGCAGGTACCGTAGGTACCTAGCTCGGCCACCTATGTAGGTACACGCTTCCGTCACTACGGGTGGACCTGGGTACCTACCTACCTAGGTACATAGTCCGCGTGACCGTTGTAGATCACCGGGCGCGAGTTCTATACTACAACCAGACTCAAGCAAGTCCCCGGGGCAGATTTTGGATTTCTTCAAACGCACTGCGACACCCCCCCTTCTAGCCTGACGGAAAGACCCCCACCTTCGGCGGTCAGTGGCCTTCCGGAGAAAGTGTCAAGGCTACAGAAAAGCAAGAAGAATGGTGGAACAGCACCAACCCACCTTGGACGGAGAATGGCGCCAGCATCATGACAAAAGCTTAGGAGAATGCTCTACAAAGCTCATAATATGTCTTGTCAACATCATCATGGAGGTGCTGCATAAAATTCCCACATACATGTCTCTTAAAATTGCAGTTGTAAAGCCATATGTCATGGGCCTTTTCCAAGGCAGATTGCCACAAAATGGAATTTTTTGGGGGCATATGGAAATTTTTCGGGGGGATATCGGGGGAAGTACCCGCAGGGGTCCTACATTACCCCGCAGTTTCGCCGGCCGAAAATCGCGATATCGTCGGAATATGGTACGGCGCGCGACCCAAATATATTGGTCTGCGGCAAAGTTCCGCCGGGCCAAAAACCACCGTAACTGCCCCGTGTTATCTGTTGAAAGCGAGGCACTTCAGTTCTCGTCAATCGGGGGCAGGCTCAGTGGTGCACATGATGCCCGAAAAGCCACGATGGACGCAGCTTTGGCCCCGCAGACTGTCATAATATCAGTATTACGCTTCCAGCATCCTCACGTACGTCAACGATTAGCGAGCGGCAGGACGATGCATATATGCACTGCCGTATTTCTGACCGCTCACGATCCTGTGGTCCACGATCGACGGTATCAGCGCAGCGCAGAGCGTGCACCATGAAAGCAATCTTTATAGACTCAATGGCGGAACAAATCACAGTTATGGTGCATACTCTTTAGTATCACCAGTGGGCCGGTCAAACTGGCCTGGGTCGCTTTAGTCTTGTCCCTCTGACCACCAAAAGCTCACCGAAAAGCTCTTTGACAGAGATGTGACGTAGTGCCACCATCGTGGCGGGATGTACAACACCTCCCCAGCCTCAAGGACGCATTCCGTGAAGTGGGCCGTGGCAAAAAGTGGAAACTCTCCCTTGTCTACTTGGTCTAGATTAACTCGACTCGTGTTCGTAAGCATGCCTTGTGTATGGGGGTAGACGCACTCGGAAGCCGAAGGAGCGTAGAGGCGGATGTACTTCCGACCGACCACCTGTAGAAAAAATACTATTGAGGGAGCTGTTGGCAGGATTCCGTACTGATAGCGCAGCCTTCTTTTCCTGCTACAGCTGTAGAAAGGTGTTGTCGGATGTTCGTAATGGGCAGAAGAGCATAATATGAAAATTGTACTATCCTCCAAGTCTGTTCACTCTTGGGCCGTCAAAAGGAGGGGACACGAACCGTCCAATGTCCTTATGAACTTTTGATGACGTCGGATGAAAAGAAGAGAACCTGTTTTTGCCTTCTTGAAAGAGTAAAAAACACCTTCTGCACACCATTTACTTCAGAAGTCGCACGTGTCCTCTCTCCCAATATCGTAGAGAAGGTTGGGCGCCACACTGCTAGGATATTAAGTACTTCGAGGAATGGGTACCATAGAGCAAGGCGCCATGATCTGACCTACCTGGGCAAGGAGGTTGTGATGGGGGTCGTAGTGCAACGGGGTGACCGTCCCAGGGGGGCCGAACCAGGCGTTGACCGACTGCATCTCGCCCCCCCCGAGGCTGCAGTAGTCTGGGGTGACGATATCCTTTCGAAGCTCCGGAATCTGCAAAGAAGAGCAAAGAGCTTTGATATATGTTTCCTGCTCAAATTCGAGGGTGCTTCGGGGCGGCACGAAGTGTAGCTGGCGTTGCAAACGTGAGGGAGTCGACTGTATTGACAGAGAAGGCGGTTAAGGTAGATTCAGTCGGCTAAAAGGTAGGCTGACAAGAGAGAGACCCGACAAGGGCTGTCTGATCTCCGTAAGGGGAAAACGAAGCCTCTTTCTCACAGATTTCCTTGGCTTCTCATAGTTGCTTGCTACAAGCAAGGGAGCTTGTGGTGGATAACGAAGAGAGTTCTCGCTCATTCAAATATCGGCGTACGAAACGGTCTTGAAGAATTCGCTCAGAACGAGCACGATCAACCAGAATTCGAACGGCAAAGGAGAAGAGTCATGGGAAAGGTGACAGAGTATCGGCCGGCTGACCTGTCGTACTGGTTTCGAGGAGAGAAGTACAGAGGTCCCCTCGCAAATTGTCAGAAGGATCCGCCAACTCCTTCGAAAAGTTTGACTATTAATAGCCCGGAAAAAGCGTGACCAGAACTTCAAACGATCTTGCCTCTGTCTGAGTCATAACTATTTACCATCGTCAACAAGGGGCGAACACGGACATCACCATAAGCAACTCTGAACCAACTCAGGATCGGATTGTTGACACAGGAGTCAGATCCGACCCTAATTGCGAACTTCTGCTCAGTCTCACCTGTTCAAACAGTGGGTGCTGCGCTAGGTAGCCCCTCTCTTCCGGCCTCTCGCCTCCTTCCATATGCATCTCAATAAACCTCCCCATTGTCATAAGCTCCTGCCTCCATTTCTCCGCCACGTAAGTCTCCCCAACCTCCACCGGAACCGTCCTTAACCCAGCCACTCTTTTCAAATACGCCAGATCCCCCCACCTCCGAAAAGCCGGCCATTGAGTTACTACACCTGTGACGATGACTGGCCGTTCCGCCAGCATATGCTCGCACAGGAAGGCTTCTAACGACGGCACATGCCTTCGGGGGATGGATTCTGAGCACGGGTTTGAGTTCGGTGGGAGGGGGATCTTTCGGGAAGAGACTTTCGCACGCTTTCTTTGCCGGTCGTGGTCCGTCCTTTCCCGTTCGTCCTCTGCATCCGTGACGTCAGGTAACGCCACCCCTGAAGGTCCACCCTGCTCCCTGACTCTGTTCACTCTCTTCGTGTCAAACAGTCCATCTTCTGGGAAAGTGGCCTCCTGTTCCGAACTAGCTTTGGTATACTCAGCACTCGATGGCCCAACTGGCGTCCCCTCCTGCGCTTCTCCACTCGGGTTCTTTGTCCAGTCTTCAGCGAATCTACCTTCGAACCTCAACCCTGACTCTTTCGTAACATGCTTGTTGTTTACTGAACGACTAGGCTCGGCAGCTAACGCTTGGACCTGGTTGATCAGAGCGTCTATCTCTGGCCGAAAAAGCGGGCCCCCCATCATGACTGCCAAATCCAGGACGCGCATCGCCCTGGCGGCAGAGTCTGGGTTCAGCTTTTGTGACCGGACAGTCAGAATTGCCGCCAAGCTGTATGCATTCCGCCAGGCCTGCGAGGCAAGGTGTATCACTCAGATGAGATGAGTTGGCGGACACTTGACTTTTGAAAGAGTGTGAGAGAGTATGCGAGAGAGTTTCAAGATGGTCGCAAAGGGCGTGATTGGAAGGTCAGGAGACTCGCATGTCTCGTGCCCTACTTGCTACTAGTGGTGGTGGTCGCATCTTGACTGAGGGCAGACTACCAACATCCAACAATCTGAAACATGACATCCAGCAGATTTATGATTGTATGAGAGTCTATACCCAGGCAACCATCTATCGATTTTGGTAGTGTGTATCATATGGGAGACTCTTATGATAGATAACATGCCAGGTAAGCAGCCTCACCACGTTGACATCTTTCCAGGGGCCAGTGTGGAGCTTCTCCCAAGAGATGTCCAGAACGACGTCCGCTTGCATCGCTGCCTGGTCCAGAAGGTCCCATGCAAGGTATGACGCCGCTGACTCGAGGACGGTGGCGCAAGTTGACCCACCAACGGTGATCAAGTCTAAGTAAGTGACAGAGAATGTCTCAGTTGTACGACCAAACCAGATTGTTTTCTTTCTGTGTTCACTCGCCTCTGAGTGGAGCGCAGTTGTGAGCGGTCGTCGAAGGAGCCAAGCAAGGAAAGTACTTCTTTTCAGCTAAGAGCCAATAGCCTTGTTTGATGATCACCTCTGAGAAACACAATCGGGCAGCATGCTAAATAACCACAATCCAGATGCTATTCGGAGGCTATATGTACCAACGACCTTGGCTGTAGACGATACTGGATTCCGTCCTGGTTGCTTCTCATGAACTTGAGTTGATAAGCAGCTCAGCTGATCACCAGTGCTGCCAGGAGCTGGTACTGACTTTTTCAGAAGAGGTTCCATGAAGCTTCTATAGAGAAAGAGTGAAGGCATGATGTCTCTTGCAAGAGGGGGTTGTCTTTTGCAACCCTGCGGTTGAGGAGAATTAATGTGTCATTCCGAATAAACTCAAAAGTGATGAGAAAGTCAAAGGCTCACCCGCACAAAGCTCCAGCACACGAACATCCTGGGAAAGCTTGCGGCCCCCCTGCTCTTGCATCGTCTCCAAAAGGGATCTGCCCCCGTCCAGCTCAGTTGTGCCACATCTTCACAACCACCACTTCATCAGGGCTCAGCTCTGCATGAGCTGGGCATGCCTGTATAAGGAGGCAATGTGGCGTTGCCTCTTGCTCCTTGCTCCTACAGTAGGACCTACTTTTGAATAATGATACAAACTCTGCTGGACCAGGAGGTGGTCATGCTCGAGGAATCTCAACCTTTCAAATTTTAAGCTTTAAAGAAGCGCATGTGCAAACCCAGCTTGCTAACCAGCGACCTCGGAGTCTGCATGAAACTTTTAAATAAGCTTTAAAGCTGGTTGGGATCAAACCCCCAATTTGGGTTAGCTGAAATTTTAAAAAACCAGACCCTCCAGGGCCAGTGCATGTGACAATGTACAAAGGCTAGCTCGAGAGAGCACTTTCAAACAGCAGACTGAGATAGCGCTTCACGAAGCTGTTCACGATTGGGAAGAAAGAAACTTGTCGTGAGAGGCAATCAGGCTCTGATATTGATAATAGGGGAGTCATTTGCATCCTTCAGCACAACAGACAGGTGCAAGCATGGCGGACGAACCCTCCCGCAAGAAGCGGACGTCGGAACGGCAGCTGACAAAGGACGACTTCTCACGCGACGATGACGAGCAGGAGGAGGCGGAGCCGCAGGGCACGTTTGCAAAGGCGTCCGATGACGTCATGCAGAAGCGGAAGGTAGTGAAGGCCAGGCGGCCGGGGGCGTCCGTCGTACCTGCACCCGCTGCGGTCAATCCATTTGCAGCGGTATCGTTGCTTTCTGCAGGTATGACAGTTCTGGGACCAGAATTGGATATATTTCAGTGGCTCTTAGGTGCGTTGTTTTTTATCATAAGGAACGGTGACAAGTATTTGACAATTGAGCTCATGTTTCTGCATTTGCTAAAAGAGATTTTCTGGTGTAGTGTTTTGCGGATCCTGGTAAAGCGGAAATGTTGCATGCATTTGACATGCATTCTGCTGGTGGCCGGTTGAATCTACCACCACCAATGTTAATGGTTGCTTCACCAGGCAGATTGACAACACACCAACAAATACAACGCCACTTGCAAGTTGGGTTTCGGCTCTTGAAATGCAATGCAGTTGTGTGCACTCTTTCTCATCAATCGGTGACGATTGCTTTTTCTGATTAGACGCCACCAATGTAGTCAATGTTTCTGAAAAAACGCAACCAATGCAGTAGACTTTACCAAAGTCGTCTGCAATTGAAGTTCTGGAAGCAAGAATGAGGTAGAAGGTTTCTGCTCAATCACATGAGACCGTCTGTGCTCCAAACAATATAGAATCAGAATTGCTCGCAGGCGCCGGCGCCGGTGGGACGCCTCCAACCCCTGCTCCGCCAGCGCCTGAGCCGGAAGCTCCAAAGACTGACAAAGGAGAGTCGCCTGCGGTAGCAGTGGCTGTGGAGGCAGCGGCGGGAGAGGAGGAGGAAGGTAGGCGCGCACTTTTGATCTGGTTTGTTGCCTTGGATTGGAGTGCGTTTTTTTCATTTTCTGTGCAGCTTGTGCTGAGCCTCTTCTGGAACAGAAGAAGGTTATGAAAGAGGCGCTTCCTTCATAGGGACTTCCTCAAGTACATTCTGCTTTGCAATCATCTTAATCAGTTGACGAGTTCGCAGATGTGCCTCTGGGCCCGAGGTTGTGCACTCTGCAATCATCAGTTTGTAGCATAGATTTATGATGCTCTGCAAGCAGGATGATGCGGTCTGCTACAGCTCAGCCGCACGACCAACCATTCAAGTCTGTTCCACTTTTTACAGGCGAGGAGGTTAACAAAGGCGACCGCAAGGAGCCTGTCGGCGGGGCGTCTACGTCGGGGCAAGCACCACCAGAGGAGGCAAAGAAGCCGCCCACAACCCCAGGGTTTGGGGGCTTTGGGAAGTTTGCTGGTTCCAATGCTTTTGGAACCGGCTTTGGAGCAGGGACCGGTGGAGGTTTTGGCAGTGCAGGTAGGCTGGACTTTGCTGATCAGCGGCAGGGCTGCTGGATCCAGGACACATATCAACTGCGGTTCAGGGTCCCTGTAAACAGGCTACACTCACACGGGATGGAGTTTGATGTTCTGAAACCCGTCTTGCCTTCAGAATGATGCGTCTTGCATTGAGCATAGATGCTGAATGCAGCTTTGATTTGGCGATTTACGATGCCCTTCATCGGACGCTTACAAAGCGCGCTGCCATAAGGGTAAACCTTTTGCGGTGCGAGTCCATAGGGCAGGCTCCGATCAAGTCTGGCACCTTGCCTTGTCCGAACGAACCTTTGTTGAAGGAGCACACTGCTTGGCAGAGGCGAGGGGGCAAGTGCTGTAATTCACAAGCCTTGACACGAGCCCGATAGTAGACGACGTTTTACAATATCCTGATGTCCTCGTCCGTTGCCTTCTTTTACTGGTCCAGAGTGCCCGCTTTCAAGACGATGCGAATCTATTGGAGGACTTGCTTCCGGAAATGATGGCTGCTTTGAAGTAGAATCGAGCAGCAAGAAGTCCGTGTCCTCACGCAAGAATCCCCGAAGCTTCTGAGTCAGCTCAATGTGAGCCAAGCAGTGAAACGTCTGTCCTTCTCATGCAGTCGATCCCTAGATCCCGAAACCCAACTCGTTTGCCACCGAATCATTCAGCAAGAAGCTTGCCTCACTTGCGCACGTGCTCTCTTTCCAGCGGGCTCCACCCCTTCCCCCTTCTCCTTCAACTTTGGCACGGGCGCTGCTGGCACATCTGCTTCCTTCGGCTCCACGCCTGCGTTTGGGGCTGGCGCCTCGAGCTTCCCGTCCCTCTCGAGTGTGTTTGGAGGAACCAACGGCGCGCCTGTGCAGCTGTTTGGAGGACCAGGCTCCTCTGCGGCGAGTAATGACGGAGGTGAGGGGCTCACTTGAAAGGCTCTTCTAGATTACTGGAGAGCTAATTGTCGAGCTTGAACGAGGGGCGCAAACCCCGAACGGAGTTGTGAAGGCATTTGCCTCCTTCACGTCCTGCCCAGATCGTGACGCTTGGGGTGACGTTCACAGCAACTTGATGAGAAAGTGGTTTCTGGAAAGACTTGCGGCATGGACGGATGTCACGGAAGCTCTGTTTAGAGCGCGCCGATCGAGGTTGGGATCCTCGTGTTTCTTCAAACTGTTGTCTAAGGACACCCGTCTATGAGTTGCGCCCCCATTTTGTTATGAGCACCCCTGCAGTTTCAGAAGCTCTATTCAGACGAGGACGGTCAAGATTGACGAGTCTGTACCATGCTGCTTTTTGTTTCACTATTGTCTTCCGTTCTCTTCTTTAAGTTTTTGTCTTGAAGTAGACTGTGAAGCACCTAATGCGACCCTTCTCAAACCAAGACGAACTGCTCTTATTATAGGTCGTATCCTCAATCGATCGGCTTCGATTGTGCTGCCCTCAGACATCTAGACTTTCGAGGGTTAATACCAAGGGATTTAGTAAACGCGGATTGTGCAGCGACGCCCTGGAGACTTCGTAAGATTCGAGCGGTTTCATCTGATCCCTCGTGCTTCTTTCTGCGTGCAGAAGCAGACGAGGAGGGCGGCGGTTCCAGCCTTCCCCAGCCGGCGCCCGTCGTGCAATTGACAGAGGTGAAGGTCGAGACAGGGGAAGAGAAGGTGAGCCCCGTCCGTCGGACTGTGTGGTGCTCGCGAACACATGACAGGTTCCCTTAGATAAGGAGAGTCGGTGTCAGAGCAAGACTCAGCACAGCAGGCTGTTTACTGTCAAGTTGACCTAATAGCTATGCTGGTCGCTTTCGCTTTGCTGACCTGTTCTGCAAATCGTGTGGCACATTGAGAAAGTGTTCTTCCAATATCGTCCACCTTGCTTGAAGGCGTTCTCTTTTCTCTGGCATCCGCCAGTTGGCAACGGACAGCCGCTCCAGTGGGTCCCACTCACACAATCCTTCTACCGAAAAGCTGCACATATCGAATAAATCAGAACCTCGAAAAAGGAGAACTTTCTGGTCCAGCTGCCTTGATTACTCTCTCGACCTTGTGAGAGCAGCCCTCTCGTCCCCTCAAGAGGTTGTCCAATGCATGTCACAAAAGCAGAACGAAGACCCACCCGCTGACGCCACCTCCCTTTCTTTCCCGCAGGAGACGGCCGCGTTCGCGGCCGACGCGACGCTCTACGAATTCGCCGGCGGCTGGAAGGAGCGCGGCAAGGGCGAGGTGCGCGTGAACGTGCCCGCGGACGGCGCGCAGCGCGCGCGCCTCGTGATGCGCGCGCGCGGCAACCTGCGGCTGCTGCTGAACGCGCACATCTACCCGGGCCTCAAGCTGTCCCGGATGGACGGCCGGGGGGTGAGTTTCGCAGTGGTAAACCACGCGGGGGAAGCGGGCGGCGGAATGGGCACGTGGGCGGTTCGGATGAAGGACGCGGGCACGGCGGCGGAGTTTGCAGCGCGGGTGGAGGAGCTGAAGGGACGGGTAACGGAGGGGGGGGAGAAAAAGGAGGGGAAGGAAGAGGGGGAGCAAGTACAGAAGGAGGAGGAGGGAGGGACGACACAAGAGGAGAAAACAGAGGGGGCCGAGAAGGAAGGTCCGGCAGAGGAGACGGGGGAAGGGGAGAAGGAGACTGCGAAGGAGGCGACTGGAGACGAGGCAGTTTGATATTGGGGGAGGAATTAGAATGGAGGACACGCAACGAGGAGACCTTTCGCACATGATCCGCGCAAGGGAGGACGAGAAGAAAGAAAGATGGCGTCTTTCCATTTGTGTTTCGCAGAAGCCTGCTCGTAGAAGGGGGGCCACGAACTAATGCAGCCCAGTAGAAACGTGCAGCAGGAGCGGGCTAATTAAGAGTGAGATGACGCTTGTGACCCACATATGCTTTTGCAATATCAGAACCTTACAGTTTCCGCTATGCTCTAGATGCCCTAGCATTGAGTGACTAGTAGGCCATAGCTCGACCAACCTCAGGTCGTGAGTTGCCCAGCCCTGTTCACTGCTCCGTGTCCTTGCCGAAAGATCTGTCTATGCACTCTACAGCGACCCTAGTGGTGCATCTTTGCGTTCAAAAGCTGAAGTTCTACTACCTTCCATAAAGCATGGTATGGTCTGCCTGAACGTCACTGTGTGTGCTGCATGCTCAAAGCCCCTTATTATGTAACACGGTACAGCATGGTAAATGTGTGAACTGACGACACATGAGCAAGATCATGCAGCAATATGTTCAACAACTGAAATGAATTGCTTCTTAGCGCCGGCTCGCAATCGGAGGCGGCCGTGTTTGCTTAAGTCGAAAGATACTCCTTATATAAGCTATCCTATATTAGTAAGCTCTGTAGCTTTTATATGATGCTAGCTAGCTATATACTTCTAGCTCCCCTATGTATGATGTAAATGTAAGCTGTATATAAGTATATCCAATATAATTATGCTCAGATCGATTTTATAGATACTTCCCTTCAAAAATACGTGTACGGTACGTACATAGTTGGCAACACGTTACACACGACCGTCAGTCAGCTCTATAGCTAGCCATGGCAGCACATGCCTCGGTGTGTGCCGCCACCTAGCTATAATCGATCAGCACCTACCGTCGAATTTAGCTACGTGGGCCCGTCATTGTTGCGCACTACAATGGAGTCAACCGTACATACTGAATGATGCAATTGTGCATTCGGCATGCATGAAAATTTTAAACGCCCTTTGTGCGCTTTGCAAGGCTGCCGTGACATGCCAAGCGCCGCTGATGTGCTAGCAGGCTGCCGGGTCCTGTAAGAACTTGATCATGATGCTTTTCATCAGTACTGCGGCGATGAACTATGAACAAGCACAGGCCGCCTCTACTGGCTAGCCTACGTATGCGTTATCGTGGGTTTTCTGGGGGCTTTGACATGTTCCTGATGAAGTCGTTAGCTTGCAGACTTATCTGTCGTTCAACAATGGCGTCCGACAGAATGTCTGCTCCCCCACTTGCGCCGTCTGCACGCACACGCGAAGAATTGACGTCTCAAGCAATTCGACTGAGCCTTTGTGCTAAAGTGCATAGGACGCCCCAGAATTCGAATAAGGAGGCTAAGACAAGCACATCAGAAAGTGGAAAAGCAACGCCTTGATTGGTTGCCAGCATTCGCACATTGGCCAATAAGAACATCATGTAGCTGATAGCTTGTCAAGAGGCGAGTGGTTGCAAGGAAGACCCGGCTATTCCAGTTTTCAGAATCCTAGATGGGCATAGGCCATAGGCATGTCAGTCAAAGTAGCAAGTAAGTTAAGAGAGAAACTGTGTTTGACAGCTCTCACCTGCCCGCCTCGGAAGCAGCCCCGCACTCACTGCCGAGATCGGCAGAGTCTCAAAACCAGTGTTGCCCGTAGTCCCCGCTGTCGGTACCCCCTCCCTTCGCCGATCGAGCAACTCTTGCGCGTGCTTCAATCCTAAGCTTCCGACCCCTACACTTTTCGCAGACACTGTGCTTTGTGCAGACAAACTTGTCAAATCTGGCAAGTCTTGACTGGCAGCGTTTGAAGTAACTAGTCTGGAGACAGTTTGCTGTTGGAAGTGCGAGCTCATAGAAGTAGAAGGGGAGTCGGGCGAGGCCATTGATGCGCTTGCAGGAGGTTCCGTACTTTCGACCGAAACGGAGGAAGCTGTGACTGTCGTCTGCGCATTGCCTGGAAAGAAAGCAGAGCAAAGGAAGAACGATGTCAAAGCTTGCCTCGACAGCATCAGGAACCTATGATCATTCTTTCAAAATATTGACCCACTAATACTCTGAACTGTGTTCTCTTCATCGGAACCTCATCCGAGGCTTGACTCTGTTGGAAGATTCTTGACGACCTCTTCTTGCTTATGGGCCTGAGAGTCAGCTCAACAAACTCCCAACGACTTGTGGCCCGCATTCATTTCGAGTGCGTATCAGTTGGTCACGCGACAAGCCCCCATCGCAAAGGTCATGAGGTCGGGGGCTTGAAAAGCCGATCCATTTTGTCATAACGACGGGGGGCAAGACATCTCCGGCACACAATCGTCAAGATGACCGCCGTTCAGTGTTTATCGCTTCACCAGTGCTCGTGTGTTATCACCAGATGGAAATTTCAAGATCGTAAGTGGGCCTCAAAATCGAATATGTGCAAGGATGATCTGAGGGCCATCGTCTGAATTCAAGGCTCTCTCTACTTTATTGATTCCAGCAAACTGTTGTCTGTGACTTTTGATCGAGGCCCTCTCAGATCGCAAACGGGCTTACCCGCACCCCCAACACGCGCATTGGCCGCTTCCACCGCTCGGGTCGCCAGCCGGTTAGTCATCGATCCCGGCACCAGGATGTTGGCACCGGTGCGGATCTCGTACCGGATCGCCTCCAGTTGAGACATCGTCTGTTGGAGCTCCTTGTGCAGCTAGCAGGGGATACGCAGAAAGTGGGTTAAGGTTGACCCCAGTTTGCAAAACCTGGATCGTATGCGGAGACTTTAAGGATACTTCAGCTGAGAGATGGTCTGCTGCAGCTCCTTTTGCAACTGGTGTGAACCAACGAACATGGGTTACGTTTTGTATTACTTACAATCAAAGCTCCAATGTATGGAAAGCTCCACCCGTTTTCCTTTGTTGGATGTGCATGCCAGGCAAGCACGTTTTGAGGACTCTGTGGTCTTCAATCGCGTTGCAAATATCAGGATGTAAAAAGGAAACGCAGCCAGTCGTCAGGATACTGATCATGTCCAAAGTTTGTGTTGGACTTGAGTAACTGACTCCAAAGCAAGGCTGGGTGGAAAGCCAAGGCATCTAATGTTGGATACAGTCCCTCAACAGGGCTTGCAATGCCCCAGCTACAGCTTAAGCGCATCCACTTTCATTCTACGCTCGTCATTCTTGGAGACTGAACAGATTGTTTTGTCCTTTGTAAAAAGATGGCAGAACTTCCTCCAGAAAGGCAATAGTCTCTGTACTTCTCCATCAGAATGAAGAAAGGAACAGACACTTTCAGCCACTCAAAATGCTCACCTCATCAAGCTGTGTCTTCTCAGCAAACGTCTGTGCCCTGCTCCGTAGGGCAGAGACATAGCCCACCGCCTGTCCGGTTAACCGCCCAGCGGCCCTTGCAATAACGGGTAGGTCTTTGGGCCCTGCAATGAAGTAGAGTGATGCAATTTCCTCTTGGTGTATGTGAGTAGTTCCACAGAATTGGAGGGTGTAAGAGACAGAATGAGGTGTTTGAGAGAGTGTTGTTTGTCAACCATCTCACTAGGTTGAGGGTTTTACTTCCGAATGAAGTTCAGGTGCGTTGCAGGTGGTCTTTCAATCTGCAGTGGACATGGTTATGAAAAGGAGCTCTCTGGGCTATGCGGTTCCTTCATTTGTGATTTGCCGGCACCAATCACTACATCAGGCTCCTCGATTGATCTTTGAGCGGGAAGTTGTTCACTTGTGTCCAGACTCGTCAGATAGCTGGTGACCAAGTGGTACAATCACAAGCCCCTGAAGATCTACTCCTGTTCTCGTCTTCAACAATACATCTGGTAAAAATTCAGGGCAAAGAGAACTTAGGTGCGTCAGAGACTTGCACGTTGGTGGAGAAGGTGGTGATGGTGGTGTTAAGTAGCAATGATTTGTAATCAACTGCACATGTTGTGAGAATCACTTGTTGATATGATGTGGTGTCTTGTACAAGTCTGCTGCATCTGTTGCTAATCTTCAATGCTGAATGCAAAAGCAATACGCCCTTTCAATCACACAGACCAAACAGAGCAGAGGGAAGACTCCTTGAGAATGCCACGCTGTGTATGCTCACCAAAGGCGACCGCCCCAACAACAAGGATGGCTGCGAGCTCGCCGTAGGAGATGCCAAAGATCATGATGTCTGCAGTGATGATTCTCGTCCAAATTGGCTGCCTTTTCAAAGCTTCATCTATGCTGGCCAGTGTCCTAGCATTTCGTCAAGCATAATAATATTATCAAATTGCAAGTTTGTGAACATCACTGGCAAAATTCAAATGGCAATCTCCATCAGGCCCGAGCAATCCCTGGTTCCGTCTAATTTGTGCAGCACCGGAACGAGCGGAAACGGTGATTCCGCACCTAAAATACATTGAGTCCAGGGAACACTGATTCCGCTAGCGACTATTTTAAAGTAGTTGCGCGGAGTGGCGCGGAATGATTGCTCAGGATTCCCTCGACGCTATGTGGCAGCTCAGCCAGCTGTCACAATTTGTGAAAAATTGCGACAGCTGGGACTCAAAAGTCAGAGTCACAATGGTGGCGATCTCCAGTTCTATACCTAAAAGCTGTTCAACGCTCAGCTTGTTGCCAGCTTTGCATTGCTGCATCCTAAAAGAAACCAAGACAGCACTGAAAGCATGTGAGGAGACGTTCAACAAGGCACGAGCAATGTGGAGACGTGCCGTAACATGGGCTTCTGATCACCAGACGCTGCATTGGACTTTCAAATGGTGGACGGGAATGCTCAGAACGATCAAAAACCTTCTGATGCTGTGAAGCAGCATTGCCCCATGCTGATTACATCTCGCTCTGTTTGGGGAAGGTGGAGAGTCTGTCAAGCTTGAGCTCGAAGAGCCTTTTACTTCAAAAGTAATCGTTCCAATGTTGCAAGCGACTTGTCAGAAGATTTTTGAGACTCAAGGATTCTCAAGTGGCGTTCATACAATAAGCCAACCTCTCACCTTCTGTGGTTGAAGGACAGACAGGACACAGACAAGGGTGAAGAACATGGCTTAAGGGGACACAGTAGAAGGGGAAGCTGAGCAAGGCAGAAGAACAACTCATCAACTTGCCTTTAGCATAGTACCCCCAGATCAACACTCTCAAGGGGTCAGGTCCACATGTGATTGAACGACAAGACAGATAGGACGCAGAAGAAGAGAAACAACGAGGCAGAAGAACCAACTCATCTAGTTCTCCCTGGCAAATAACCCCCAGATCAACAGAAGCAGTTTTCAGGGGTGAGTTCCAATTATGGCCCGCACCCCAAGCAGCGCCCTCTTTGACAAGGCCCCGATCGGCCCCAAGCCCTCGCGCATCGACCGCTCCCTTTCAACTCGCTCCCCACTATACATCCCAATGGGATACGATCCTGAGATTGGCGAAGACGCCCCCTCAGCGCAGTGTACCCCCTCCAATAGCTTCGACCACCTGCCGGCGCTCCGCTCGACGCAGAGCCTGGGGAAAGTGGGCCTGGGGAGAAGGACAAGTTTGGAAAGTTTGCAGTCGCAAGGGGAGCCGCTGCTTGGGAGCAAGGTGTCGCCAGAGGAGGGGCAGGAGGCACTCCTGAGGAGCATCAGTGCGCAGGTGGGGGGTTGATACAGCTTGTCTTATCCGTTGCCATGAGTTTGGCGGTGCTTTTTTCCTGTCTCGTCATTTTGAAATGCTTTGTGTAGTATCATGTCAAGGAGCTTCGTTTTTCAATTGGAGAGGAGCGGTTGACCTGCAAGAGGGAATGGGGGGCAAATGGGAAAGGACATCTGGAAAAGCAGGTCACTGAACCTCCTGGACTACATCGGAGTACCCTTGATTTCCTGCGAGTGTTTGGAAAATACTCTGAGATTGTAACCACGGGTTATGATGCATCATTTGCGAGCTTTTGAGGCCAGAAGGGAGCGCATGCGTGTTGGGGGGCGGCTTGACAGGTGTCAGCTTTTTGAGATCGTCACCTCCAATTGGTTGCACCGTACCGAGGCACTTATGAGGCACTCATGAGGGGAGGAGGACTTTGATGTTGCTGATGAGGTCAACTGTTCATCTTCCTTCACTTCTCAGATGTACAACAGGAACAGTGAAGAAAACCATGATGGACACATGCAAGCACCGGTGGCTGGACTTCAAGCTTCCTTTTGATAGAGCAGCAGTTGCCCTGAGCTTGTTCTGGTGGTTGATGAGATTCATTCCGGCCAGTTTGCTGAAAATGCCATCCTATAGTCTCAACACTTCCTGCGCTGAAGACAACGGACATGCACCAGTTGAAGCCCCTTTTCCAACTTTTGCCATGTGTGACTGGGAACGTCCCTCAAGATGACGTCGCTCGTACATATCACCACAATTTTCAAGCCATATATCGTAATTGCAGGACCTCAATATCAGATTTTCGAATAGGCAACTATCCTTGACCCATAAACCCTTCGGCCTTGACTCTGATGTTTTACCCACAGGTTGGGCTGCTTGCATCATTCTCCTGGGCCTTGCGCAGTGCAATTGGAACAGTTTCCCAAGAAATCTTCGATATTTCGTTTCGTGCACACCTGAAACTCCTTCACCCTCCTTGTCAAGATATCAGTACTGAAAACACTCAAAAACGTGAATCTATTTTGAGCGGCGCATTCAGCCCGCCCTGGACCTCGCACTTGTATGGAAAAGCGGGACGGTGTATTTGACGCTAGGAGGCACGCTGGGCTTCGTGCTTGCCATTCCATAATGTCTTGAGATCCTTAACTGCGAATCATAAAGTCTTAAGATACTTGACTGCGAGATCGATCTGATGTTGTGGGATCGTTGGCAGGAGCGGCGCTTCAGGCGCGCCCTCGCGTTCGTCCTCCTTTGGAAGAGCGGGACGGTGGCGTCGGCGCTGGGCAGCGTATTGGGATTTTTCTGCATCATGGCGGTTCCCCTTGCGGAGTATATCTGGCTCAGGCCCGTCAAGGAGAGCGAGGAGGAGCTGCCGTTCCGGGGGCTCGTTCTCAGCTTGGAGGTGGGCGTTTTGAAAGCACAATGTTCTTGACATCTAGTGAGTTTTGGAGGTGGGTTTTGGAGGTGGGCGTTTCGGAATTTTTCCTTTGGTATACTGAGTTGTTGAACGTCTGGGTGCCGTGCAATTCACGAGGTGCTGCTTTCATCATTGCCGTTCCGAGGGCTGGTTCTCAGTTTGGAGGTGGGCGTTTCAGAAGCGCGAGTTTCCGTGTGTTCTAGAGGGTTGCGCGGGTATGCTTTTGAGGCTTTCCGTTTGGGATACGTAATCTGGTAAGATGTAGAGGGTTTGGGTGGTTAGAAGATACTTCCAAGAACTTTCTTTGGGAGCGTCACGAAACCTTTCGCCACTGAGAGTGTATGCTGCCGTTCAAGGGGCTCGTCCTCAGCCTGGAGGTGAGAATCACTATCAACGTTACTGAGAGGGGGCTGTGGTCAGTTTCTTAACATGATTAAGAACCCCTGATTGGACGGGAAATTTCGGGGCTTTGAAAACGGCTACCTACTCGGATCGAGAGGAGTCTCTTGAACGAGTTTTGTTCAGCGAGTTCTCCAAAGGGCTTGTCACACCATTGCGTTCTTTCAAAAATAAACTTTGGGTGGCAGGGTGGGAAAACACGGCCGGCACGGGTTTCACGGATGACGGATCGGTGCGATTGAAGCGTTGTGGCTACATCCGTGCAGTTCTCAGTGCATGGTTTGGCGAGGATCTGAGAATACATCATTATGACATTAGGAGACTTAACGCCGGTTACTTCCGCGCTGAGTCTATATCGGTTTCGCATCCTGATCTGGCCAACAGACGACACTATGCTCCCGGAATGTAAGATTCCCACGGAATGTTTGCAGACATAAGTTCGGTGCGGACCTTCGAAGCAAGCGACTCGTTCGCTTTCCAGCTGCTAATTCAGCGCCTGGGCCTCCTTGAAAGTTTTCGAGGCCAAGAGTTCTTAATCATCTTAGATTTAAGGAGCACAAATCGCCGGAGCCTCGTGATAAGCCGACGTTTCGTTTCTCGAACTGTCTCTTCTAGTCGGTTTCTGTTCTACTCTATTTCGCCTGATCTGCCGTTGACGATTGGACATCCTAACACGCTGAAAGCGCGCGCGCGCCCTCGTTCCCGCGTGCAGACGTCGCTGACGGTCGTGAGCTGCGCGTTCCCGATGCACCTGATGTCCAAGCAAGCCTAAAACTCTGACCCTTAAAACTCAACTCCTGAAATCTGAGAACGGGATTGAAAGAGCGTGCGCGCCATCGTCTCTGCACGCAGACGTTGCTGGCAGTTGGTGAGCGACGCGTTTTCCTGACGCACCCGGTGTCCAAGCACGTCTTAAATATGCAGACCTTGAAGACCCTAAAATGTGAAAACGCAATGAGAACTTGACATGCGCGCTCCTTCGTTCCCGCGCGCAGACGTCGCTGGCGGTGGTGAGCTACGCGTTTTTGACGCACCTGGTGTCCAAGCACGCCCAAAAACCTAATTCGCGAAAATGCTAAAACTTAGAGAGTGTATAAAAGCGCGCGCGCGCCCTCGTCTTTGCACGCAGACGTCGCTGGCGGTGGTGAGCTACGCGTTCCTGACGCACCTGGTGTCCAAGCACGGCGTGCGCAAGCTGCTGCTGCTCGAGGTGCTGCTCGTCGAGGACGCGTCCGTGCAGGAAGCGTACATCGAACACCTCCAGGTGGGCGCAGATACATTCCCTTCAGGGTTTTGAGATTCTGCTTTTCGGTTCTGCAAATCCTTGAAAACTGCATCAAACACCTTCAGGTACTTACAGAGCTTTACGTTCTGACGCTTTGAGGTTGAAGGTTGACTTCAATGGCGCGTCGGTGCAGCAAGCCTGTATCGAACACCTCCAGGTGGGCGCAACAAAGAACGTTAGATTGCGTTCTAAGATTTGGGGTTTGAACCCCTCCACGGGGGCGCAGCTGACGGAGCTTGACGGCCCCAATATTAAGGTGTCTAAGATACTTAGAGGCGACAACCAGCGCAAAATCTTACTCCACTACCGTTGTTCTTCCAGGATGCCCTGACCGTTTTGGGGCGACTCTTCCTGCCGGCCTTCGCGCTGCACGTCTCCCAGAAGCTGTGGTGGTGGCTGACGGTCCCGCACGCGCCGCTCCCGGTCACGCTCGGCCACACCCACGTCATCGAGGTCCTCTTCATCCTGCTGACGTCATACTCGTGGGTGTTCCGCACCGTGTGCTTCCTGTACGTGTGCGTCCTCTTCTGGGGCATCTGCGGGCTGCAGGTGCGTTTTTTTTCCAGCATTTTCAAACGCTTAGGATTGAAAAGCGTCCGCGGGGAAAGTTAGATTTTGGATAATTAAGGATTTTATCTGTCCTATAGGAGGGGGGCGCGGGGTGCTTCTGGACCGTACGGGACAGAGCTGATTGTCAGCAGGCCTGAACTCAGGTTTATTCTGGGGGCATGTGCGGGCTGCAGATAAGCATCCCTTGGCGGATCTTGGGTCTGGGTTCATGACCTAGGGAGCTTTAGCTTTTTAAAAATGTCTGCCGATATTCCGAAGGTTTCATAGGGTGCTGAGATTGCCGCGACGTGGACGTCAAAAGGCTGGTAATGGTATCAACTGACTTTCTACGGTTCCTGTCTTAGTCAAGCGTCGTCTCCTCTCGTCTGTCTGGCTCCGGATTGTCTTATCGTCTCACAGTTGTTCCCGGCCTTTTCCTCTCTCCCTTGCATATCCTGATGTCGCTTCATGCGGACGCCAGGTTTGATTTGGCCCGAAAGAAAGTCAGAGTCGCTTTGCCTTCCCAGGTGCTTAAGATGCGCTACTACAGCCAGCTGCTCGACTTGGCGGCCGATCCTTCCTGGTGCTTCCACGAGTACGTCCGCCTCTGCCAAGGTGAGCCGCCCGTCTACGACCGGAAGCGGAATCAAACATTGAAGGCCGGAATACAAACGGTACAAGCGCGATCACAAGGCGGAGCGTGCTTTGAGGTTCCGCAAGCATGCTCCTCTGCGCAAACAAACTTTTTTCCTTTGTCGCGCTTGCGCAAATGGCTATCGTGAAACTCCCCACGAGCGAATGGGGTCTTGAAGGGACGGCCCTCGAAGCGCAGAGTTGCTTCGCGTCGCCACCAACTTAGCGGCACTCTTAATGAAGGCAAGATACACCGGTGTTGGTTCATTGCAATTGACGTACGCGTTTCTTTCTCTTGGAAATGGGCCTTGCATGGCTCCCTGAGATCAATATGCGAAGGGTTGCTCTTCAGAACCCTCGCATATCCGTCGACATCCGGCCCGATTGTTGAAAAGGCCCTGCTGTTGCGCGCTGAATGACTCCAATCCCTCGCTTTCTGAGGACGTTCGTCAGAGCGTCTCTAGTCGCTTAAGCAGATGTCCTTACGATCTAATCGCTGATGCCAAAACTTACTTCCGCTCCCCAGAAGGTCCGGTGACGCTTGGCCAATGTTCTGCGTTTCCCTGGCCATCACCATCCTACGAAACACTGGCTAAGCAACCATTGGTTTGCCGTGCACCATGTGAAGCGCCAGCATTCGAAACCTTACCCGTAGGCCTGGTATCGGTATTCCTGGCCTGCTCATCTCTCCGAAACACTGTCTTGGCAACCGGTTCGACATGAAAAAGGTTCACCACCCCAAAGGTTCAATCTGAGAAGCGTTCTGCCACCAACCATCAAAATTAAACTCCACTTTCCGCAGGCCTGGTGACAATCAGCCACCGGTTTCGCGCATTCCTGGCGTGGTCGGGCGTGCTCATCCTGTTCGGACTGCTCGCGTCCATGTACAACGTCGTGCGAGAAAAGAGCGATAGCCTCACGTTCCTCAACTCGGGGGACCTCATCGTAAGCTGCGCCCCTTGTTCCGACCGCCTTCTGTTGACGTCACCGCCAGCCTTCGGTGCGAAGCACTTGTCTGTCGGTTGTGGTGGGTGGCCTGAGGGCGGTTAAGGTTTTGGCCATTCTCAGTTACTGGAATGTGAGCGAGACAGCTCTCGCGCCGTCTCGCAGAAGAGTTAACGTTCAGTCTTTGAGGGATGTCACGGCCAACCGTTAAACCTTCTCAACGCCCGCAAATTTCTCAAACATGATCTCGACTCGATCTCAATCCCTACAGCCTGAACCTCACCGTATGACCTGCGCAGGTTTGCAACTGGGTTTACGTCAGCGGCGGCTTCATCTGCCTTCAAGTTGGTCCTAGGTCGAGACTCAAGTACGATTCAAACACCAGTATCGTTTAACCCGCGCAGGTTTGCAACTGGGTTTACGTCAACGGCGGCTCTATCTGCCTCTACAATGCGTCCTAGATCCAGTTGACCATCTTGATCATGATGCAAGAACCAATATCGTCTAACCCGCGCAGGTTTGCAACTGGGTGTAAGTCAACGGCGGCTTCATCTGCCTCCACGATCGCGTTGTCATTTTGTTAGAAGAATTTAAAAACTCACCCATTGTCGAACCCGCGCAGGTTTGCAACTGGGTTTACGTCAACGGCGGCTTCATCTGCCTCCACGATCGCGTTGTCACTTTAAAGAAGAATTTAAAAACTCACCCATTGTCGAACTCGCGCAGGTTTGCAACTGGGTTTACGTCAACGGCGGCTTCATCTGCCTCCACGATCGCGTTGTCACATTAAAGAAGGATTCAAAAACTCACCCATCGTCTAACCCGCGCAGGTTTGCAATTGGGTGTACGTCAAACGGCGGCTTTATCCGCCTACACGATCGCGTTGTCATTTTAAAGACGAATTCAAAAACTCACCTATTGTCTAACCCGCGCAGGTTTGCAACTGGGTTTACGTCAACGGCGGCTTCATCTGCCTCCAGGCCGCGTCCAAGATCGCGCACTTCCACCGGCGTATCGTCAAGCTCGCGTCCAGCATGCACGCCGAGCGGTCGTGCGACTTCGGCTTCCGGATGGCGTCATCTCCGGCCGGCCTCTCCTCGCCGGGGGGGCTGGAAGAGCTGGCGGAGGAGGGGGGGGGCGAGAGCCAGACGGCCAAAATGCTGCAGGCGTGGATCCGGCGGGCGGACGCGTACCAGCAGAGGGCGGCGCTCGGTGAGCGGGCTTGGGGAGGATCTCTTGAAATTTAGTTTTAGGAGGTTCTGACGATTCTAGTGCCAAGTCTGGAGCATCTGGATGTCCTAAGTGAGGGGCTTCGAAGGGGTCTGTCGCCCTCAAAGCCTGGTTTTCTGGGTATTCAGAAGTCAGGTTTTAGGATCGAAACCTCCTCGACTCAGGCAATCCTGAGCTGGTTCTGCTGCTCTGGAAACAGGAATCGAGTTGAATGCATCTGAGTAGACGGATTCGCGCGGATTGCATCTGGTCTGGTTACAAAAGAGTCAAGTCGGATTCGAGGGGCGGCTTGCCAAGGCTCACGTTTTGGCAGGAAGAGCACTCAGAGATTCAGCACTTTCGAAAGCGGGCTGTTTGTGAGCTGAGGAAAAAAAAGGAGGAACGCTGACGTATCCGTGGCTTGAATGAATCGCGTTCAGCAGGGACGAGGATTCACGTGCACCGCCAAAGTCGAAACGGGCGCAACAGAGGATGCACCTTCCTTTCTACGCACATTGCTTCGCTCATCACTAAGGAGCAGGAGCTGCGAATGGAGGGCTCCGCTTGAGGTAGACTTTGGCTAAAGCTCTTCTAACGCAAATCGCATTCTCTGCGGATTAGTCTAGTCAAACTACTTCCTCAACGCAATTCTCCTTTTGTAGACCGCGGTCCATTTCTCTTTGCAGTAAATTACCTGACGCATTCGACTGCCGGCATCTCGGTCTACGGGTTTGTGCTGGACCGTTTCTTCGTCCACACCAGCTTTGGAGCGCTGTGCACGACGACGTGGTTCATACTGGGACGGTCGTTAGGCGCTGCATAAGCGTGGCATGATAGTCAAAGATTAGTTACTGCTAACTAGCACGGTGGCTTAAATTGTGGTTAACGACTAGGTGGTGGGCTGTTCTATCATTGTACAAGTCTGCTGTAGTTGGGTCCTTATATCCAACAACTTCATGTTGATCAATGGATATGCGTGTGAGCTGGCACCTATTGTTGACAGGTATTGAGCTTATTAGGAGGTAGTACGCAGTCGTTACATATGCGACGATTTTCTTCGATCAAGTACGACAATAGTGCACGCAGAGTTGAATCAATGTTTCTTAGGACTGCCGGGCACCGGACTCTTTCACCTGCATGTGTAAGTCAGCCTGTCTTAGGACCGTACGCTTTTCTATTGAGTAGCTAGCTAGATGCATTTGACACGTACAGCCTTTGAAGCATATTGAAGTCGCCCATGCTGTATACATAAGAGCCACGTGTCTAGGTAACAGAGCGACAATCGGTCGGAAGTCGAAATCTGTAGAGCTTTGTGGCACGCTCTGGCATGCGGCCCATATTAGCTCGCGATGTGTAGAGCTCTGCAATATACAGCCTGTATGGACCTCAGGGAAAACTTCAGTGGGAGTCCTAGCCGGATGTGACGGTGCAGCAAAAAAAGAAAGGGCGTTGCCGTGGAAAAGTTGCCATGCAAGACCGGCTAGCTTGCGCACGCTAGTACATGCAATAAAGCTTATCTTGGCCACGCCGGCCACTTGGCCAAAGTGCGATCAAGGGCTTGACCAGCTTCATGCAATTTTCAGTGCCGCCAGCAGGGTGCAAGCTTACGACATGTCATGTCGATCAAAAGCGGCGCAAGGGGAACTATGTGATATATCAGAAATGGTTCTAATTAGAATTTGACTCGATGGGCATGTGGCCGGTTGACGTGTTGGATACACCACCCTCTTACATTTTGTCTGACAGGCGCGACAGATATACCCCATGCATGGAAGTGGAGATAAAAGTCCTATCTCAATCCGAAGGGTATCCGAACGCAAGTAGACCACCGGGTTTTCGCGCTTTAGGACTACGAGGCTTGCTAGTTGAGCACGCGTACTTCATATTATGGGGGAGGAAGCCGAAAGCTTGCTGGTTTATTGCTAGCAG